TATCCCACTACGAAGCATCCTAGCGAATACGGAAAGTCTTTTTTGTCTTTCGGGAAATAGCACACCTGTTTTTGTATCTACCAAGTTGAGGAGAGTTTGTGATACCTAATTGGGAATGCACGGTCAGCAATGTGGATTATCCACACTCGAAAGTCTAGAAACAACTCTACTCACTTGTACAACCAGTTGATTGCACCACAAAATAGCCTGGTGCTCCATGGATAGCCATACATTTCTCATGCTGGTACTGCTAATAAAAAATCCGTGTGTAGGAGGCACAATCCCGTCTAGGGTTTCTAACTTTGTTCGCACCTGAAACACGAGCAGAAAGATCAATACATAGAAGAAAATATGTCAAGAGATACATCTAGCCATTTACTATTGATGGTGAAGGAAGTAAACTTCCTTATAGACATAATACACATGCCCTTTGAACTTAAACAGACGCCAGAGCTGGGAAATAAGGAAGAAACTCACACATTTTCTGACTCTCAGAAGAACCAAAAGAAATAACTTATTTCCACCACAATATCCATACGATATGCCAGTTAAGTAAAATTTGGATCTTCACAGGCCATTACAGTCCACAGCTTTAAAAGGATGATAAGGAAAATTGAAATAACAAAGCGGAATTGAGACCAGTAGGCATAATCAGTTCCTACAGAATAATGGAATGAATCATAAACCAAGACCAACAGAGTTGAGTTAAGGACATACATTGTCCCATGCATTTCCAAAAAACAGAAACAAAATAGTAATCAATTACTACATATCAATCACAAGACTAAACTTCAGCTCCAATATATAACCCAAAATGTAATGAAAATGGGATGACATTAACTCAGATCGAGTTGCCCTTTCAAACGAACCTGGTAATCGTTATAACCACCGGAGATTGAGACAACAATAACATTGGAGAGATCGGTAACATATGATGCAGCATGAGTACTCTGGACCTTATACCCCTTCCTCCATTCACGGTTAACATGCTCAAAATAGTGGCCCAATGATGGTTGTAGTGCCACTGGAGGTGACCTGGATAAGGTGGTCACTTTCTTTATTAGTCAATCAACTTTGTCAGACATGAAAGCCAAGCTAATACATGAGCCACAAAACTCACTGATGTGGGGTTGAAAGTGTAAGAATAGTCTCAACGGCAGCCTTCCTCAGACGGGGATGGATCATAGCAGCTCTAGCAACAAAACCGCCCATGGAATGACCAACCAATATCACACTCTTTGGCAAACTACTAGATGCGGCAGCACCTTCCTTTTCTCTGGCATCATGGGAATGCTTATACTGATCCAAAATCTGAAATTTTGAAATTATAACAAGTAAAAAAAAATCATGTAGAGAAACCAATTTTGGCAGAGTTGGTGAACACGTTCATGAAGGATCTCATACTTAGATTGGAATCAAGAATTTGGTAATCATTGATGGTGAAAATGTTGCAGAATCCACATAAAGCTATTCGATGAGAGAAACCCATCTCATTCAGCCATGAAGGATTGACAAAATAAATTGAGCTTTTAGCTAGCAACCATTATTTGCACATTCCCTTATCAAAACTTCAAGTCATTTCATCCAAATTACTGCTGTTTTAGTTTGTGTGGCATACTCCCCAACATTATTAAACCAACGTGACAAAAGCTGCAATACCCTGTGGATGGCATACACAACATATTCAGTGTGTTCTTCAAGTATCTGACCATCCATTGCAGAATGTTCACCTTCAAGGTCCACAGCAAACCAGTCTAGCCTATTCTTGTATTGGGTGGGCAATTCAAAGCCAGCCAAATGCGTGTCCGCTCTTCCCTCCTCAGAAGTCAAACCAGCCTCATGATGAAATGTCCTCTCTGGCGGACCTCCTTGGTATGCCCTATCTGATTCAGCAGCCACAGACCTTACCTGCAACGAAATAATCAGCGATATTGAGACGCATGCAACATGAAGTTCAAGAATCTCCAGCAATAAAGATTGTGGAAAAGAAGAGCCAAAACATCGAAATCCTAGTCCATTGTAGTACTTCTATAAGCACCATGCTTACTCAGCTAATGCCAGTTGAAGCTAATGCCCGCCTAGATAAACTGAGAGGTATCAAATGCATATGAATATCGTAACATTATTAGTTGTAACCAACTCTACAATTGCCAAGTGAATCGGCGACAAGAGTAGAAAACCTTGCCTGTTTGTAGCTGCCACCATTTCCAGGGATGAAAAGAACGGGAACGCCACTAAGCTGCTTCAAATGCTCGTCGAAATCGATCTTCTTCCAGCCTTCATGGTAAAGGTACAAACCATACTTACCGGAAGCTGCAGCAGCATCACCGGCGGCGGAGATGGGAATGTAAGTCGGATACATATAAGTCATGACGCATCCATTGGAGATTGGCTTCAAAAGTGAATACAAACCGAGCAGAGCAATCCAAAGAGTTAACGCAACCACTGCGGCCACCCTAAATTTGGCCCTGAGTCCTTGCATTTCTCCCGGATCAAGCTACAGGAAATATATTCCTAAGTAGTGGAAGCAGAAGATCTGAGCCTAGGTACCAGAGAGTCGGCGATCGAGAACCGAAGCAATTCTCATAGCAATGTAGAAGAGTGAGGAGGGATGCCGCTTGATGAAGTGAGAGTGATGGAGATGGAGTGAGACAGTGGACGGTTGAAACGGACCAGAACGGCGCCGGAGAGCAGCTGGAGAGGTTCCGGCGAGCAGGAGAGATCGGAAATTGGAATCCGAAGTGAGGAAGAGCGCGAACAGAGAGTTCAGCGATGAATCATGGAGAGAGGCAATGAAGAGTGCAGACGATGAAGGAGAATAGGGCCTTGCAGGTCTTATCTGTTATTGGACCCAAACTATTGGGCTTTATGCTATGGGTTAATAATGGCCCATAAACAGGGGAAGAAAAGCTCACCTAGTAGTTCAGTGTTGTTCAATTCCTTTCACGTTGTAACTTGTAACAGAGATTGGTATGAAAATTGAAGAGTTCATCATGTGATCTTGACCTAAGTCTGAATTATATTAGAATAGAAATTGTAAATCTTTTATAAAACAAAATTTTGGCCACATTGAAGTGATAACACAGGGATTTCAAATTAACATGTGCAGTCTAATAATATTGATAATATTCTCACTAGAGGCTAAACGAAATAGTTTTGTCACAATCAATACAAGCGTGATAATCTTAGAGTCAAAAAGAGTACGCATATATGATAAACAAACCAATGTTGTAAATCGTATTGTACTAGTTAAATAGCATACAAGATACTTGAATTATACAACCGAAAGAGAAAAAGGAGTTAGACTCGAAACTAGGATAAAAGAAATGAAGGAAATCTCCATTGGTAATGTCCCGTAATATTACATTTCAATACACGGGAAGAAAGAAAGAAGAAAAGAATTACTCAAACACATGGTAAACTTGACAACATTTACTCTAATCAGATCCTACTCTCCTCAATGAATACGCCTCTCCCCCCATTTCTTGGAAATCACTGTGTTTAAGTAAACATGAAGGTGGTTTGGGGTTTAGGAGATGTGAGGAGTTTAATCAAGCTCTGTTGGCGAAAGCGGCTTGGCGAATCTGCAAAGAGCCTAATTCTCTGCTGGCTAGGGTGCTTAAAGGAATGTATTTTCCCAACTCCTCCCTGCTGGATGCTAAGGCGGGATCTCTTCCTTCTTGGGAGTGGCGAGGGGTGATTCATGGACGGGATTTGTTGGTACAAGGTCTTCGATGGCAAATTGGCTCGGGTGAGTCGGTGGATGTGCTAACAGATAATTGGGTGCCAGTGTTATATCCCTGTCCTCCGAAACCTCGTCATGGGATCATTGGTGTTGATGGATCTGTTGCGTCTTTAATATGCCCAAATCAAGGGGTTTGGAGGGTGGATTGCTTACGTCAAATCTTTGAGGAGGAGACTGTCTGGGCTATTCTGGGCTATTCCTTTGCCTATTTCCCCAGTGCCTGATCGGATGGTATGGAACGGTGAGCAATCAGGTCTTTATACGGTTAAGTCTCGCTATCACTTAGCTGTGGAGTTGAGGAGGCAGAAAGAGCTAAGGGTGAAGGCGAAAGCGCATGTGTGAGATCGTAGCCTCTGGAAAAGGATTTGGGGGTCTTCCATACCTCCCAAGTTGCGGTATTTCATCTGGCAGCTGGTTCGCGGTGTCTTGCCAACTAGTGAGGCACTGAGTACTTGGGGGGTTGGGGGCTGGAGCCATGTCCAGTCTGCGGGGAGGAGGGTGAGTCTCTTGAGCATCTCTTCTTCCGTTGCCGAGTGGCGGTAAGGTTCTGGAAGGGGCGGAGCTTGTGGCTATCCGGGATCGTTTTCCCATTAGCAATATGGGTGTCTTTTGGCGCAGGTTGCTCGAGTGAAAGGAGCTGGATCAGGCGGCCCTGATGAGAGTTGTGGCCCTCTTCTGGCGTGTTTGAAAGGCCCGGAACTGGGTGGTTTTCGAATTTACTCAGTATATTGTCCTGGTGTTGCTGTCTCAATTTCGATTGCAGGTTGCAGAATGGGTGACTTACCCATTAGTCGGGGTTCTAGCCTTTCTTCTGGGAGCACAGTTGTCAGGGGCAGAGAGGACATTTCGCTAGGTGGCCTGGTAATGCTCGTGGATGGGGCTACGTCTAGTGGGTCTCACTGTGAGGGTGGTTGGGTTCTTAAAGACCCCACGAGTATGGTGGTGGCGGCTTCAGCGACATTGTACGAGGGGATCTCAGAGCCGGCTCTTGTGGAGTTACTGGCTTTCTGGGATGCTGTTCGATGGTGTTTGGCGTGTGGGTTGCTTTCGATGACTTTTGCAGGTGACGCTCAAGTGATTTTGAGGAAGATTCGAGATGGTGAGGTAGCCGACATCGCTGGGGGTACGCTTTTGGAGGAGATAAGAAGTTTGTGAAGCTTATTCCAGGAGTTTAAGGTTATTTTTGTTGGTTGTGAATGTAACAGGGTTGCCCACTTGATGGCAAGAAAAGCCCTTTCGTTGTCCCCCTCCTTAGCGGGTTCAATTTTGTTTCTTGGCTATTTTCAGCTATGTGACTCTTTGTATCTGGTTGTTTTCTCGGTAATACGAGTGATCTTTTGGCAACAAAAAAAAAAGATCCTACTCTCCTCATGAAACCAAAAGGCATATCCTTTCCCACTCTTCACATTCTTCCCCGCTCTCCCTCTCTCATCATCTCTCGATCCGTAACTTACAAAAAAAGACGCAATATCATGAACAAAGGTCTTCTTCCCCTACCCTAATACGAGAAATTGTGACATCGAAACAAAATAAACTTTTTCACCCATATCGCAACATCCTCCGCACATGCCTTAGTCTGAGGTGTCTTCAGCAGCATGTCGAGGGTAGCAAACTCGTGAACTGCATCCTTGTACTCCAGAACAGGAGCATCGACATTCACTTTCCCCAATTCCTCGGAGTAAGTGATGGCCATATCCCTCATCCAATCTTGTTCTACCACCAACGTGAAGGTGGGCCGCAAGAGCTTCAATGGTGGGCCACCCTTGCCCGGGACGAGAGGGTTGGAAGCCGGGTGATCGAGGCTGAACTCTTCCTCCGTGAGGAAGAGCTTCCAGGTGAACAAGCACATTGACTTGTCATACAAGTACGAGTTTGCCAGCTTGATCTCAGAATGTGTTGGTATGTTACCTATGAAGAAGGAGCAAATTAGAACTTGTGCGACAACCTTGATGGGGTCCAGAAGCTTGCCTACTTCAATGACCTTTCTAGTTGTTTGCGATGTTAGCGCCGCAGCTCATCCCAAGAAGAACACATCTGTTTATGTAGGACATGAGACAGGGGAATCAATATCATATTCCAGTTTAACAAAATGGAGGCAGAGGACCTCAAACATGATACCTAGAATTCACTTGAATATTATTAACAATCAACTAGCCTAAGATGGAAGATAGAAGTGGTAAGAACATCAAAGAGGGATGGAGTGAATCATCTTTCAGCTATACATAGATACGAATACAAGTTAAAACAGATAAGACGTCGACAATGAGTCAAATAAACCTAAAGCTCGTTGTTTTTTAAGGGCTAAGATCAGGTGACTAGGGGGGGTCCCTTAGTCACATGACTAAGCCAATCTCAACCATTGAACCTCATTAAAATCTAATGGTTCAGATTTATCTAGTTAATGAAGGGCATGCTAGTAATTATATAATTTATTTATTTGGAAATTGAAATAAAAAAATACAGCTGCTACGTATCCTCCCCGCTGTCCGGAATTTTCTACACATCGTCGCTGCCGGCTAGGGATTTTCTGACGTTCCTCACAGCCGTTGCCCACTCCGTTCCGAGGGAATTTTCCCCAACTTGGCGGCTTGGGATTTTCCGGCGTTCCTCCCTGTCGCCGTTGCCCAGCTCCGGTCGGGTGATTTTTCGTTCCTCCCTGCCGTCGTTGCTTCCCAAATTGGCGGGCTTTCCCCAACTGTGGCGCCTGGGAATATACTGGGGGGACTTTTCCCCAACCTTTTCCCCAACTTGGTGGCTGTGGCTGGAGAGAGAGAGAGAGAGAGAGAGAGAGAGAGAGAGAGAGAGAGAGAGAGAGAGAGAGAGAGAGAGAGAGAGAGAGAGAGAGAGAGAGAGAGAGAGAGAGAGAGAGAGAGAGAGAGAGAGAGTTTCCCGGCGACCGGAGGAAATTTCTCGGCGACAGTGTTGGGTTTGTGATGTTTGCAGACCTATTTTGTAATATTTGTATAGATTCGGTTTGTATTGTTTGTCATTTTTAGTGATATTTTGTACGGTTAGTATGCTTTGTACTGTTTGTTGGTTTATTTTGTAATGTTTGTACGCTTTGTTATTTTGTAATGTTTGTCGGGTTTTTTTGTAATGTTTGTAAACTTTGTTATTTTTGTGCACCATGTTTATCATTTTTTTCAACCATGTTTGTAATGTTTTTTATGTCTAAAAAACAACCTGGTTGACTTTTGGATGGAGCCTCCAAAGTCAACCCGGGTGTTTTTTCCAGTTCGTATGGATTGTCGGTCTAGTTTGTCATTTTTGTCCACCATGTTCGTAATGTTTGTATGTATAAAAAACAACCGGATTGACTTTGAGACAGAGCCCTCTATATTGGGATGAAGCCTCCAAAGTCAACCCGGGTGTTTTTTCCAGTTTGTTTGAATTTTTGGTCTAGTTTGTCATTTTTGTCCACCATGTTAGTATGTCTAAAAAACACTCTGGTTGACTTTGGGAAGGAACCCCTCTATATAGGGATGGAGCCTCTAAAGTCAACCCGGTTGTTTTTTTTTTCTTTTTGTATGGTTTGTATTGTTTGTCGGTCTAGTTTGTATTGTTTGTATAGTTCATACGTTTGTAATGTTTGTAAATCTGTTTGTATGTTTTGTCGCTCTAGTTTGTACTGTTCGTATGTTTGTATGGTTTGTACTGATTGTAAATCTGGTTTGTATACTTCGTAATTTTCCATAATACCCAAACAACCCTTGTCATTAATTAAATAGCCCTTCCCACTTTTTAACCATTGGATTGAAGTGTCCAGATCTAATGGCTAGGAGAGGCTTAGTCAAGTGACTAAGGACCCCACTTAGTCATGGGATCGGCTCTTGTTTTTTAAGGGATGGGGCTGCTCTCCAAATATTGGACAATTACTACTAGAGCAAAAGTGGAGAAACAAAAACTGTTGGGGCAGAAATTTCACTTTTACAAAATTTTACAGGCTAAAATATGGTGCCTGAAACCTATGACCAAGAAGCCTAAACAGGGAGCACTTGCTAAAAGAGGTGGCAATTCTCAATTAAATCCACCAATCCGTTAAAAATATCCAACTAATCCAATCCTTGTACATCCAATCCATTTGATACAAATTCAATTGGATTGGTGGACTCATGGATTGGATTCATGTCATTGTCAAATTATAGTTTAGTAACTATAATTTTCATTTTTTTAAATTTTGATACCTAAAATTTAATTTTTATAGAAAAAATATCATTGAAAAATTAAGTTTTGGTACCTAAATTTTTTTCTTATGACATTTTAGTACCTAAACTTTTCACATTTTACATATTGGTCCAAGGTTGAGGATAACAGTTGGATTAATGAATAATCCACTTGATCTAATCCATGAATTCAATCCATTTGCCACCTCTACTCACTAATACAGATCCTCTCCAGAAAATTTTAAAGGCGTTGAAATCTACATTCCTGGTTCTGCTCCTCCAATCTTCAAATAGCTTAGTAAGTTTACATCATTCACCAGCACAGGAAAAAGATCTATGACTTAGTTTCCCTAGTTAAAACGGCTGAAAACGGAAACATGGAGGAGATACTGCAAAGAAGCTAGCATTCGCTAATCAGTTCCAAGTTATTTGTGATCTAAGAGTCATCTAGGCATTCACCCTTACACAATACATTGTCCAACTAACTATTAGTGAAAACTTGGCATCATGCCCTATATATTTCAAATCATGCAACTTCATATCCATTACGCATGTTGTGATCAACAACGATGATCTATATAGGGGAAAACACTTTAGAGGAATTTTACAATGCTTTAAAGCATCGGTGCTTTAGTTTTTGCCTTTATATTACAACTTGAAGTTGTACCCCTAGCGTTATGGCACAGCTTTAGGTTGTACCTATACTATTTTGTAATATCCCTTTATGGTACAAACTAAAGTTGTACCTCTATGTTATGGTACAACTTCAAGGAAGTTTTACCACAACGAAAAGGTCAAATTACCTTATGGTACAACTTCAATTTGTACCTTTAACGTTATGGTACAACTTCAAATTGTACTTTAAAGCATCGATCCTTTAAAGCACGATAGAAGTGCTCAACACTTTAGGGACAATTAACTCTATTAGAGACCAATAATTTTCTTTCATTATGAAGGTTGATTATGAACGCATTATGGAAAGCACCTCAAACATTCAACTATATGGTATACTTAAGTAATGAAGGATGATTAATTTTTTTGGGCGAATAGCAATGTTTATTGCTTTTACCCTATTTCCCCTGTTATTATATTGTAAGCATATTATGCATAGTTGGACCACTCTTGAACATTTAACTTGCATAACCAAGGTACAAAACACTTATGACATGCATTTCAGGGCATCTATCATCTATGTTATTATATATGATACTCCCTAGCCAACATGCTATGCCCAACGCTGATATCATATAAGATTCACAATTAGTTAATTACCATTGACGTCTCATCCAAGGATTGAAAATCGTACCTGGGAATGTACCGAAAAAGCCAACGATAGGATATTTTATGTTGAAATCATGATTGAACTGTGATTCAACCATTTCAAACTATTTAATACCACCTACGACTTCACTTCCGGCAGGAAGTTCTGGTTGAACCGCCTATACGATATGGTCTTCAGTCCTATAAATCATCGTGATGAAAGATTAAAATAGAACATGATAAGAGGAAGGAGGTAAGATCTTGTGTGACGTGCTTATCTTGTTGTAAACCTGCCCTTGTAAATTACTCCCACCAGATTTTCTTAGGATTTTTCATTTTTTATCTAATGGCCTACTAGTTTTACAAGGCTATAAATATGAGAGACCCTTTTTACACTTGATCTCGTCTTGGAAAATGATGTAATAAGTATCGACCACTACAAGGCTATAAATATGAGAGACTCTTTTTACACCTGATCGCATCTTGTAAAATGACATAATAAATATTGACCACTTCATTCGCCGTTAAATCAGACACTTCCCTCCCCGTCATTTTATAACCAACAATAACATACAATTTCGCCTTGCCTTTTGTGTGCATTTTTAGATCTAACAAATCTCTTTATTTATGACTCCACTATATAATTCTTAACACGAGGATGCATGCTTGAATCAAAACCACCAAGGTTTATAATAATTGAAAAAGAAAAGAAAAGTTTGTAAGAGTAAAATTGATATAATATGGTTACGGGAGAAGAACAGTGTCCATGGGCTGATATATGTCCAGATCTCTTGAATTCCATCTACAGGAGACTCCCGTCCCACATCGATGGTACTCAATTCAGTTGTGTATGCAAGAACTGGCACCAAATCCACTCCGAGGTCGTGCTTTCCAACCCCTTGCATGTGGACATCAACCGTACAAAATTCTCCAACTCTGATGTCGTCGAAGTGCGAGAAGATGACAAGCTTTTCGTGAAACCATGTCGCAAAACTCAAATCCCAGAGAGGCTTGTAGGTGTCAGCATAAAGATCCTTGGGAGGGCGGGCGCGTGGTTTCTTATAAAAGAGCGTGGCATTTTCTTGGGTTGTTACAATCCTCTGCTGCGAAGACCAGCAAACTACATCGCTCTTCCCGACCCGAGTTTGCATTTTTCTCACTATCGTCGCAACCGAACGCCAGTCACAGTCAAGGTTGCATTCTCTGCACTACCCACAGCTCGTGACTCGATGATCCTCATGGTATATGGTGATCTTTATTTGAGTGTGCTCCGCTGTGGTGATGACTGGATGTGGAAGACATACAATTTCTCATTGGCTAGGAAAAAGGGACAAACTTGCCTCGGTGTAGGCTATGGAAAGGGCAGATTCTTTTGCTTATTTGAAATGGGAGACATGGTGATTTTCAGCACTGACAAGAATGAGACGAGAATGTTGCTAGTGGCCACCAAACCCCTGCTTCTTGAGCATCTCGAGCAATGGGACAGCTTGCGTGTTGTGGCAGTGGTGACAAAAAAAGCCACGTCTGAAAGTGATCAAAATCATGAGTTAGGAAAGATTGTGGAGGTTATGATAGTCACTCATTGGGAGCGGGATCATGAGGCGCGTGACAAGGACAACTTCAGACTGGTGGCAGTGGTGGAAAAAGTTATCACGATGACAGATCTATTACTAGCTAATGATGATGATGATTGTGAGATAGTGTCAATGATGGAGGATGGGGACAACAATAAGGGATTGATTGTAGTGAAAGAGTGGTTGCCATTGAAGAGGAGTTTCCACGGTTTTTATCTTTTCACACTATATTTTCTTTCTTCACTGCTTCTCCTTCTTGGTACTGCTTGGATTATTTTGTTAGCCTTTTGATCCGCTGGTTGGATTGTGGTTAAACTCAGCGTAATGAAGGGCAGTACGTGTGATTCTTTGGTTAAAGAAAATTAGAGTTGACTAGGCAAACCATTAATAGTCTTTATTTTGTTGTAGCACACCTTATATATGATCTGCACCCTGAAATGTTGAAATCAATTCTTAAAAGTGATTTTTAGTCCCGCATGTGATCTCAATAAAGATTTATGAAACCATGTTTTGGTATATGATAATCTTTCAAATAAGTACTAAAAATTTAGCTTTAATCCTGATCTCTTGGCCATAAAATTTGTAATCTATAAGTTTATTGTCACTATGGATTGAAATTAATAGTCTTTAAGTTTTATTTCAAATATAATGATAAATATTATCATAAAGGTATATTCACTTCAACCCAACATAATTCATATTTTAGTGTCGTCATTCTAAATTTTTTTAATGGTGTTATTGAAAGTCATGCAAAGATAATAGTGTTTTCCAATGTAAGTATGATTTTCTTGTATAAATTGGGGTTATAAACTATCCTTTGTATAAAATAATGTCATTTTTTTATTCTTCAATCATATTGAATCAATTATATTTGGAAACGTATGTTACAAAAGTTTGCATATTTATATGATTTTACTCTTTCACATGATAATAGTTGACATACTAATGTGCAATAGCTTTCAAAATAATGATGTTATCCTAAAGTGAAGAGTTTTTTTAACTAACGAATTTTTTATGTTCAATGGTAAAGAAGGAAAAAGACAAATTTCTCGTTGAAAGAAAGAGAGAGGTTAGTGTGGTAACACAAACTACAACCAATAGAATTTTTTTTTTTTACGAATTACCAATAGAATTATTTCGTTTGGATGATTTTTACAGTTTTAAGAGTTGACCACAATTAATACATATTTGTAAAGGAAGGGTACCCTTGTCTTTTGAGAAATTAAATAAAGAGACACGCGCGTACCATCCATTACTATAGCACCCATTTAATCCCCCCTACCCAACGCCTCCTCCCGACCTTATCATGATTCCTTCGCGTTTCCGAAGAAATGACCGCCTCTCCTCTGCCCTCCATCGCTCCTAACATATGTTTTTCCCTCGTCTTTCATGTACAAGCGTCTCCGTTCGTTGGAGGAAATGATTTCACTCGTCTCGTTGCCGCTTCCGCGGCGAGTGTAGTGACGGTGGATGGTGATGAATTGCAATAATAGAGAATATAATCATCAGGCACGAAAGAACCTCCCACTTCCACGTCGCTTCAGACTGCCTCCATATTTAAAAGTCGAAGAGCTTTGCTTTATCTATTCCTCTACGTGTAACAGACATTTGAACATTGAAATTTCATCTGCAACCAAGACAGACCCTTGTTGCTTTGATCCATAAAGGAAGTAAGGATTTTCCATCTAAATGATTTGTTGTGGTTGCTCCCCTCCTCGCTGCGTGTTAGCAATTCCTGTGCATTTGGAGTTTGGTTTTCTGCCATGGTGTGTGGCGGCTAGGTTTCCCAACCAGGCCCTGATACCATACAACAGATGTGTTGTGTGAAAACCTAGTTCGTGTCGGGCGAAAGTCGGAGAAAAAAAGAGCATGAACTACCAGAAATCGTTGCCAAGGTGCCTGTTTCCCTTTCATACTAGATAGTTGCTTGCTTCCGTTTGGGGGGAAGCAAGCACGAGACGAGTGAGGGTGGGAGCAGGTCAGGCGGGCGGTTCCCATGTATATACTAGAGGTGCTAGCTTAAGCAACCACGAGATGTTACGCTAGTGAAAAGGAGAGGCGGAGCCGTCACCGAAGGCCGGGAATTCAGCAACGGTGGTTGCGACTATTGATGCGATGGGAAGGCCACGCTCTTATCCTCCGCGACGACCTGGGGTGTCGGCAATTCGAAGGTGGCATCCAATGTGTTGGTCGAGAAGAGGTGAGGGAGTTCGCGTCAGCGGCGAATCTCTCGCGAAATCGATTCCCGAGGTGCTGCTGTCCGAGGAAGAGGAGGAGCCGGAGGAGTGCGACGATGATGGACTCAAATTTGGGGGTGCCAGAGATGACGATTGCGGCCGAAACATGGAAGATGATGGCGGATGGAAGAGAAGAACGATATTGAGTTCTTCTTCTCGTTAATTTGGAAGTCAAGGGTATGATTTTATAAGTCAGTTTGGTAAATTTTAGTAAGTCTGGGACTGAAAAATAATTTACCATGTGAAGGGTTAGTTCGTAAAAGGTAAGTGTTTGAGTATCAAAATGAGAATGTGCAATTTGGGAATATTTTATCAAATTCAGAAAGTTAAATCTCCTTGGAGGAAAAAATTGTTTAAATCTGAAAGTTGGGGCAGAATTGGTGAAACTCAGTAGGTACGGGTACCGTTTGGTAATTTGTCATTTTGGGTAAAAAAATAATTTTCCAGAATTTCTTGGGAATCCTAGGAAGTGTTAAATGGAGGAATTTGGGATTGAAATTAACCAAATTGGAGGTCTTTTGGCTAGTAGAAGGAAGTTTTAAGTTTTGCCTAAATAGTTAATAGGAGAGTGCAAAAGGAGATAAAGTGCGAGGAGTTTGATCGTGGAATCTCGGGCAAAGACGTGGGTCAACCGGCAGTGAAGAGGGGTCGTATTGATCGATCAAGATCGGCTAATGAGGTGAGTGTAAAGGGGGTAATATCTCAGTCGTAGAACTTTTAGTTTATGCTTTTACTTTCAGTTATGTTAGTTAATTTTATGAGTTTGCGCGATTATGTGTGTGAGGCATCCCACCGCCTACTTAAGGTGGAGGCACACGTTGTGCTATGTATGTGAATGTGTGTGTTGATGTATGATTAATGGTAAGATGAACCCTTGGGCGGCTGGGCCACTACTGGACGCGGTAGATGGTCGGGACACTACTGGATGGTGATACGTAAAGCAGTAGTTGACCGAGCATGGACTGGACGGTGATACGTAACGCAATACCATTGCCTTGAGGATAGGGACACCGGACGACGATACGTAGCGTGGTGGCCCCTAGTATTTATGTGTATGAGTTAATGATAGAAGTAGAGAACTTCTATGAGTTAAGGATATAAGTAGAAAACTTCTATGAGTTGTGTCGGAATAAAGTATTAAGGATAGAAGTTGAGAACTTCTACAAGATAAGGATAGGAGTAAAGATATTCTATTAGTTGTGTTGAAATAAAGTTGTTAAGGACGAAAGCGAGAACGACTTTCGACTAAGAAAGGAAACCCGCTAATAATGTGTTTAGTAATGGTTTGCTTAGGCAAAGACTTTAGGAAGTAACGACGAGTCTGACCCCTTCTCACTCACCAGGTTGAGGAAGTGTTAGCGAATTAGGATTTCGAGAAGAGGGTTTCTAGTGAGAGATTAGGGTTTCTTCTTCCCATTCTAGAGAGAGTGCCATTCAAAGGAGGAAGAAGGAGATTTGGGTTTGCCCTAATCTAGAGGAGTGAAGATTCTTACCTCTCAAAGGAGATTCAAGCAAGGAGAAAGGAAGATTGTCGTCTCTTCATGGTTCTTCCTCTCCTTTTTCTTGTTTTCCTTTGTCTACCTGTGGAATAGCTAACCTACTCACTTGGGTATTGTGAATCCTAATCTATATGTGTGTTAGGATGTAAGAACTTGATTATGTTGTGTTGATTGTGTGTTCTATATAATACTTTAGGTATGTTCATGAATGATTGAGTGTTGCTAGCTTTAACTCATATTTGTTAGGTCAAATTGACCTAAGAGGTGGAAATCCCCTTTTGGGCCATAGGGAGCTTGACCTCCTACCCACTTGGGTAACCCCTTTTGGATTAGTCTAGGGCTAAAACCTCAAGTATCGGAGTAGTACCATGATTCCCACGTGATTGGTCTCTCCGCCATCCGGATTAAGTTCCTACTTCCTAGGGTTTGGTCTTGCAATCCTTAATTGATTAGTTAAGAGGGGCTAGATTGCCTAGCTTATTGTTGTCATCCTTAGCCGAAAGGTTAAGAGAGTTAGTCTACTAACTCAATGCAACAAACCTTAATTGGTCAACTAAGAGAGTTAGGGTTTTCTCGGTTCGTTCGATTAAGAGAGCTAGCCTCCCTAGCTCATTGTGGCAATCCTTAATCGATCGAATAGGAATTTTTATCCCTAGCTAGATGCACCCGCCTCACGGTATAAGAACACATCCTTCACACTAGAGTTTCGTTGTTTGTTTCTTAATATGTGACTAGGAGGAGCAATACCTAGGTGAAGTCCTCTCAAGTAAAATTCTCCTCAATTTACTTTTCTAAGTTTGTTTATTTTGTAGTTTTCTTAGTTTAAAACCCAAAACCGTTTACTAGATAACAACCTAAGTGATTGAAGTAGGGGTACATGGACCAGCCCGGATGGACATTCTAAATTCTAGCCCTATACTACACCCGGCTAGAGTTTAAAAACTTGGGTTCTAGTTGGGATATAATTCGCGGTGTAGTTCCGAGCAAGTCAACCAAAAAAGAAAACAGAGCTTCTTCTTCGGCAACCTTGATGATTGGATGAATTCAAACATTCGAGATGATTCGACTTGAAATTGGCCTGGCGAATGGAACAACTTTTTCAGTCTAATCCTTTTGGTACCTCTGGAAATGCCAAAATGAGGGGATTTTCAAAGGAGTGAAAATAACTGTCTCCTCTCTACATCATTACGTGGTGGCCAAGGCTACTGATTGGGTGAAAGCCTGGACTCCAACTCAGAAACATACTAGAATGAATGTGACACAGAGGAGAGTAGAAGAGCTTATTGGATGGATCAAACCCCCAATTAGGCTGGCACAAGCTGAATATAGACGGAGCCGCCCAGAGCAACCCATGATTGGTAACAGCAGGGGGAGTGCTCCGGGATCATGATAGGGATTGGATTGGTGCTTTCTGCAGCAAGTTGGGGTCTGGCACAGCTCTGCTTGCTGAACTCTGGGGCATACTGCAGGGCCTGGAGCTGGCCTGGAAGAAGGGATCACGATTCCTCATTCTTGAGACGGACTCGAAATTGGCATTATAGCTCATTGAGAAGAGAAACGACAGAGTGCATCCTTATGCCACGATCCTTGGACCAATCAGACGAATATTGGCAAGAGAATGGGTTGTGAGGTTGGTTCATACATATCGCGAAGGGAATAGAGTCACAAATTGGCTCTCGAAGCACAGTCTCGTCCATCCCTTCGGTACGCATGAACTAACTGACCCCATTGGAACTTAATAGAATATATGCCAAGAAGACATAGTAGGAATCAGCTTCCCTAGGCAAGTGATTCGGATTAGCGATGATTAGGTTGGGGCTCTTTGTTTCTTTTCTGATCCCCTATTTCGCCCTGTTTATTTTGGCATGTGTTTTGCTCCTAGCGGTTAGGAGTTTGTAACTTTGGTGGTTTGCCTAAGTTATATATATTTGAATCGCTAAGAGCTTCTAAAGAACAAATATTAAATACTCTCAGTGTCTCCAATACACTGGATACTGAAGAAGGTAGTTCAATCAGTATTCACTCCTCGCCAGTTAAGAACAACCATATTTGATAAGACCACCCATTCTGAAACATTGCCATATAAAGAATTCCAACTTTGAGGAAATTAGCGAGACATTGCAGCACAAGTTGAACATCATCTTGGGAAGTCAGACCCAAGGTAGAAACTTGAAATTGTTTGAATTCCTCCAATCCGATGCACCTCGTGAGATCACTTTTAATGGACTATTTAATTCCAGTATGAGACACACTACCTAGAGAAATAAATAATTAATTGGTCTTCAGACGTTCAATGGGTAGATCCAATCTTCTAAAATGAATAGAAAAGTGCACACCATATGTCACCTCTAAAAATAAATTTAGCTATAAATTAAAAAACCTAATCTCTAGCCTTCAATGGAAGAAGAAGAAAAAAAAAATACTCATTAAAAGGCCAATTAAATGACAATGTTAATAAAAGCTAAGATCAATGCTTTCAACGTATTCCACCAAAAAAAAAATGCTTTTAACGTAAACCCCTTACGCAGCCAATTAAAACAAATGACCTCATTAATTACTTTCCGATATCACCATCCGATAGAGATTTCCGGCGACTTAGCCGGTAGTAGCCACAAATCGTAGGCCGTTTGTGATCCCTGAGCGGCCCAAAGTTTGAACGAGACAGTATACACCAGGCTTTGCGTAGATTCTTTGTCTCTCTGCAGTTCTGCATCGCCGGGGATTTCACCGGAAGAAGAAATGTATCGCTTCCTCTATGGGCAAGAAGAGGACATATAATAAGAATTTGGGTACTATATACAACCTGATTTTGAAACCCATAAAGGAGTTGACACTTTCTCCCAAAACTGATCGTTTAACAACAAATCGAGTAAAAGTTGAAGTCCTCGAGCAATTAATCGGGAACAATCAAAGCATCGCTGTTGGTCGGGACCAACTCCGGCGAGACCAATTTCAGACAAAAAGAAATGAAGTGATTATTGATGGTAACATCGTTTAACCAATTTAAACCTCACGCAAAAGATTGTGGATAATCAGAGTAGCACCAACGACAGGAGCCCACGCAATCAAAATGTCATTGTGGAGACGGTATTTCGGCCAACGCTATCTTGATCGTCGAGTTTTCGTGTAGGTCTCCTTGAGAAGACCTCCACCACTTTTACTAGTTGACTTACCCAAGTCTAATATTCATATTCCAAATGGGCTAGTAACTTAATATTATTATTATTCATCTTATACTTTGACCGACTGTTTACTTCTACAAAGTGACAAGTTAATTATTAGGAACCCCAACACGCAAGTCAAAATTGAAAAGGTAAATCAAAGGTCATATTCTCTCTTACGATGGATGGGCTTATAACCTTGTGGTGGAAAAGTGATATAAACGAAAGTGTGCTTATAGACCAGCCCATCAGAGGCGAGACCCAACGTAATTCCAGCCCAGCGTTCAAAGAGCCCACATACATCAGTACATCACACGCTGCAAAACGAACTCGTCTCGATAGCCGCTTCTTGTCCAAAAAAAAAAAAAAAACTCGATCGCCCGCCGCCGCGGAAGGGGGGACAGTTGCTGATCGGCGGCGGCGGAAGAATCTTAGAGCAGTTCCGGAATGACGGAGTTTACTATTCATTCTTGTGCCCAAACTTGTAACAATCTTGCTTACTTTCCCTTCAGAAGCTTAAGCTTAGAATTAAGCAAAATTGAAAACTAAAGTAAAATCAAAGACAACCCATAAACCCCCTGTCCTGTGTATCCCTTCGATCATAAGCTTCCCCTCCCAGAAAGAAGAGAAATCACCAGTAAATTCAAGAACTCAATTCCGTATCACGAATCCATTTACAGAAACAGAGCAAGAACAGAAACCAGTAGTACCCAATTCAAGAAATCAACCGACATCTCCCCACTCCAGGCGATTCCAGGAAAATTGAAGTGGGGGAAGATAGGAATCCATGAAACAAACCGATCGAAAAATCAATACCTGAATTCCGATATCCCATTCCAGGCGATTGCCGCAAAATTGAAATGGGAAGAATGGTATGGTAACAAACAAACCTGCGGGATCAAGAAATCAATCTTCAGGGCGCTGATTAAACATCAACGACAAGGCCTTCGCCGCGATCCCCGCGTAACCAGGAGGGTGCATATCGCCACTGCGGCTCGCCAACCGCTCTCGACTATCCCTGATAACCGTGTTTCGGAACATGAAATTCCGAGCTAGCCGCAACCGTTCCTCCCACGAGGGGCTAGTGTATTGATCTGGCCGAGCCACGGGTTGCTCCACCAAATTAACAGCCTGCATCTCTGCATCGTCGTGGTCGTCGTCGCCATAACCAGAGCCACAAGGAGGACAATTTCTATTTATTGGCGGACTCCGACCCCCGCAGAGACCTTTCCTGCCCTTGTTGTATAACGCGCGTGTGGCAGGCTCGTAGTCGTCAAAGTAATTGGACATGAAAATCAACATGGTGAGAATCACGGAGATGGCCACCGCTTGTAACATCAGGCTCCAATGCTCATGGTAGTCGAGAACACCAGGGACGGTCCAGGCCGCCGTCGCTGCCGTGCTGCATATACATAATTATCGAAAGGAATCAATTAAGTTGACTGACCTAGCTAATTCATCAAACAAAGAAATCAAGTTGACTGAAAATCAGTACAGACTGATGTTAATGATAAAGACAGAGGATGAAGTGAACCCTACCAGATCCAGGCCATTGTGTAGTCAAATTTCACGCGAAAAGCCATGAAACGGGAAATGCTGAAGGAGTAGCAACAGAAGGCAAGAACCATCCATGGCCCGGCTTTTGAGACGACTACGCCGATTGCGACGGCAAAGACGATTCCACCTGTCTGGAGGGTGGATTTCCCCTCCCGCGTCATCAAGAACGCCGTAAGCATATTATCCAGAGGCCACCATCTTCCAATCGCGGCGTTCTTGGCACCGTAACAAACCATCTGGAGACACACGATCAAGCCCAGCTGATTGACGGAGCTTCCTCTCGGACTGAAGTGGAGGATCAGGCCAACGGCCACCGCAGACAGAATCAACCACAAGAAGTACTGTTCGTACTGGAACTTCCTAATTCGCTCAAGGACAGTCGCCATTTTTCAAGATGATGAAAAATGGCGGTGGAGAAGGAATGGGAAGGAAGAGGAAGAAAGAATGCAGGGGATGGAGGAAGGTATTCTCTCTCTCTCTCTCTCTCTCTCTCTCTCTCTCTCTCTCTCTCTCTCTCTCTCTCACTTCTTGAAAAATGGCGGTGGAGAAGGAATGGGAAGGAAGTGGCAGAAAGAATGCAGGGGATGAAGGAAGGTCGGAGCGGAAGGTTTTCTCTCTCTATCTTTCTCTCTCTCTCACTCTCACTCACTAGTCCACTATGTGTGTGTGACGATTTGTTACAGTATTTCCATTTTCCCGCCCTTTATCGGCCACAGAAGGATAAGTCGGTTAAAAAGAAAATAATAAACTTAAATAAATTAAACAAATGGGCCAACCCGTTTTTTAGGCCCAGTATGAGAAGTTGGAGGGGAAAAAAAGTTCGGCAGCAGCAGTAGAAAGGAGCGAAAATGGGGGCAGGATGATAAGTTTTCTTGGCAAATTGAGAATTATTCATGATGATGTGGATTTCTATTATATGCTTGAATTATAATTGTGAGAATTGAAATTCATAGCTATATGATGCTGAATTCTTATTTTTATTCTCGTATCAAACAAATATCTATTCGTACATAACTATTTTCATTTTCTTCAAGTTAGATCATTAAATACTAGTATCTACTTACAAAATTTCTACAAACATTGAAATAGGGACATATTTGCTAAAACACGATAGTCCAGGGACTAAACCCATGACATACAAGATAAAAGATACATCTCTTTGCTTGTTATAGACCTAACAAATTTCCTTGCAACCAATGTTACAAAATAAGCATCGAACGGAAATTGTTGTCATATTATTACTAATTCGAAAAATATTTTTATAATCAAAACTAGCTAAAATTTTACTGACAAGAATTTTCAATTAAATCATTCATAGTCAACTGATTAACCAAATAAACTGATGGCCTATATAGCCAGACTACACTCTCAAGTCTCATCCCATCTCGTCTCTATACGAGCCATTATATGAACCGCTCAATTTGATTTGCAATAGGTAGAGAGCAGTGTTATTAAAATCAGACCGGATGGTCCGCCTGATCACCCGGCAACCATTTCCTAATCCGGCCCGCATCAAGCTTAGTAGCTTACGGCCGCATGTTGAGAGCCAGTGCTAAAACTAGTGAGATTGAAAGGCAGACCCAAAAAAATGTTAAGCCGATGGGTTTCAAATTGGAATGTCAATGGGCAGGTCCAGGGCGGGTATCATGATACTCATATCCGTCCCATGGCAGGTCGGATAATTTCTCATGGGTCGCGGGTTAGGACAGGTCGACTCAATGGGTGTGAAATTTATATGGAAAATATTAGAAACATTGGTTGATTTCATTATAAGACAAAGAAAACAAACCATATTATGATAAATGTAGCTAAATTATTTGAGAAATTGAGGTTTTTCACTAATTTATGACTTTGTTATAGCTAAAATACGATGTAATAAAAGGAAAATTCTAAGTAATTTAACTAAAATTACATGTAATTTAGACAAAAACGGGTCGAGAATGGGATGGGTTAGGGCAGGTCAAGTCAGGTCGCTGAGAGTACCCATTCTCACCTCGCCTACGGGACGGGTCGGACCCGCTCCAAAAGAAATCAAACTTAAAACGAGTCATGTCATAAGTGTCATCCCTAATTTCAAACGTTGGGGTCTTCAACACCATGTTGACAACTCGGGCTACTGCTAGTCTACTATAGTACTTATCCTGTTATCCATGCAACAAATTGTAACGTAACATGGTATAACCATAAATAAAAAAAAGTTCATATTTTTAGAAATCACTTTGCATTATCATTGAATAGTTTTCCATTTCTTAAAATTATGGTTTTTTACTTGTCATACTTAGTTATATAATTATTTGGTAACAATATATTATAATTAGTATATATTATTGTATAGACGATTTATACTGGTTCATTAACCGTTAACCAATTAGTCGTGATTCATGAACTTTTCCACTTCTATTTCCTATTCGGTTATGAAAACTAAGAGTGTAATAACATATTTTTCACTATAATGCTTGTACTAAATAATATGCTATAATTGTTATGGAAAATAACTAAAAAGGAAATTCAACCTAATACAATAAAAACTCTACTATAATTGCTATAATAGTGCGACGAGGCCATACTCGACACGACAGGTCGAGTGATTGTGCCGCTAGATTTTAGTTTAGAGCCCTCCGATTTGAATCTTAGGGACGATGCTTGTTTTACTTTTCTTCACTCCTCTAGTAGCATTCCTGTGGAACAAGTTCTTGTAAAAGAAAAATGCTATATTACTACTATTAAGCAAATAAATAGTAAATGCCGATGTCTAAGACGAAGAAAATAAAACAAAACAAAATGGTAACAAAGCAAGTGGTTCAAAGTTCAGATAAGAGAAATGCCACTTGGCTAAAACGGACACAAAGAAAAGAGCACCCCGAATGGCAGTTATAGCCGTACATTCTACCTTACCCAACCCGGTCAACGAGGAAAATCCTCGATAATATCTGCAAAGAAGTTTGTGGGTATGGGGCGGGGATGTATTTGAGTGCCTCCGCACAATACCCATATCCATATCCGCCCCATCATTACTTATGTCATATATTATAAAATATAACTACCGTAACGTAGGAGTTGTAGGTGACAAATTTTATGTTCTTTCATGATTAATATACTTTTTTAGAATGATTAATAGACTTTGTTTCTCTACGAAATAAGAACTTTGGAGGATAATTTGACTTTTGTATGTGGATTTTTATTGTTTAGGAGGTGGTTTGGAGATGAATAATTTGGTGTTGGATTATTTATAGGTATTTTGTTTATGGAACTTCGTAGGAGTTGGATGATCTAATTAAGATCACATGTGGTTCTTTATTAGGTTCATCATTGATTAGGTTTGATGTTTCAACCCAATAGTTATATGTTTATTGAATTCAAGTGTGTTAATTTAGTTATAATCATAATCAGATGTACAGAGCGGGGATTACCCTCGGGTATCCGAAACCCATGGGATGCAAAATCTCCCCCCGCATGGAATTGGGAGGTTATGGATTTGATAATTGAAAATGGGTGTGGGGATGAGTTTAGTACAATCCGCCCCAAACCCGACCCTTTGATATCCCCCCCCCCCCCCCTTCGTGACTAATTGACTATCATACATGTTATTATATACGATATTCCCAAGCCAACGTTCTAGGCCCAACGGTGATATCATATGAGATTCATAATTGTTTAAATATTATTAATGTGACTCATCCAAGGATTGAAAAATCATATCGGAGGCTGTACCGGAAAAGTCAGCAATAGAGTATTTTATGTTGAAATCGTGATTGTACCGTTTCATAAAGTTAATACCATCTACCGACTTTGATATGATCCCAAATTGGCCATCAATCACGCTGGAATTGATTGATCAAGAAGGTAAGCAAAGTACATTAAAGAACACTGAATTTTGGCTAAGTTCTTTCATAGTTTCAGGTAGCCAACTTTGCACGTCGGGAACTTGTTATTGGCTTAATGAAAATTCGAGTTTAAGGCCGTGTTTTGAAGATGAAGAGTTTATCTTTCCATTGATGTGCTTTGGAGCTCGAGAGGAAGCCCATAAGAGTGATTTCCAGGTCGATCAAGTTGCTAGCTCAACATGGGAAAAACTGCCGAAATATTTTAGGTGTTGGAACGAGTTCGGGAAGGAACTTTGGAAGCCTCAATCGAAGGGATGGCATGAGAGTCGATCTTCAAGAATCATACCTCATAAAAGTAGGTTTATTCTACTACAAAGACGTGGCGTTGGATGACTGGAATGAAGAATGGAAGGCCTCAAATGAAAGCTCCAAAGATCGTATCGAAGCTGAGTTTCTGTCTTTGGAAACCGGCAATCTGAATCCTTATCGGATTAGGATTCCTTTGTTGTTTTGTGTTTAATTCCTCTTCATTGTTGGTTTTTATTTCCTTTTTCAATTGTAATATATCAAGGAGTTCTCTAAGAGTAGTAGGATGGGCTAGGTCTATTTAAGTAGCTTTGATTCATTGTAATTTTCAGATTTCATAGAGTTGAATAACAAACCGAGAGTTTGCGTTCATAAAGTTTTGTCTTGTGAATTGAGAGATCAACCTAGCCGAATCTATGTTTGATCTTGAGCTTGTATTGTTCAAGTACTCACCTTGTTCGTGGCCAAGCATCGACGACACAAATCGAGCCTCTTTCCCATCGTGAAAGTTGCACGAAAGGTTCCATCCCAAACACGAGCACAAGACCCTATTTTGTGTTCTTTCTCACCAAGTTTTGATTCAATCTTGAATTGAATCCTAGCTGTGCTTCTCTGGTTCAAAACCACCCACCTAGAGGTTATCAGACTTCACTTCCGGTAAGATGTTTTGGTCGAACTACTCTGTATGGTGTGGTCTTCAATCCTTTCACTCATCGTGAGGAAAGATAAAAGTAGAACATGATAAGAGGAAGGAGGTAATTAAGATATGGTGTGACGTGCTTATCTTATTGCAAACCTGCCTAGTATATTACTCCCCGTAAGATTTTCTTAGGATTTTTCATTTTTTATCTAATGGTCTACTAGTTTTACAAGGCTATAAATATGACATATAATTTTTACACCTGATCTCGTCTTGTAAAAAGACGTAATAAATATTGACCGCTTCATTCACCCTTAAATCAGACACTTCCCTTCCCCGTCATTTTATAACCAACAATAACATACAATTTCGCCTTGCCATTTGTGTGCAATTTTTTAGATCTAACAAATCTTCTTATTTATGATCCACTATACCATTCTGAACACGAGGATGCATGCTTGAATCAAAACCACCAAGGATTATAATAATTGAAAAAGAAAAGAAAGGTTCTGAGAATAAAATTGATATAATATGGTTACGGGAGAAGATCAGCATCCATGGGCTGATATATGTCCAAATCTCTTGAATTCCATTTACAGGAGGCTCCCGTCCTACATCGATGGTACTCAATTCGGTTGTGTATGCAAGAAATGGCACCAAATCCACTCCGAGGTCGTGCTTTCCAATCCCTTGCATGTGGACATCAACCGTACAAAATTCTCAGACTTCGATGTCATCGAAGTGCGGGAAGATGACAAGCTTTTCGTCCTACCACATCGTGAAACTCAAATCCCAGAGAGGCTTGTAGGTGTCAACGTACAGATCCTTGGGAGGGCGGGCGCGTGGCTGCTTCTAAAAGAGCGCAACATTTTCTTGGGTTGTTACAATCCTCTGCTTCAAAGTCCGGCAAACTATATCGCTCTTCCTAAACTGAGTTTGCAATTTTCCCACTATCGACGCAACTGGACGCCAGTCACAGTCAAGGTCGCATTCTCCGCGCTACCCACAACTCGTGACTCCATGATCCTCATGGTATATGGCGATCGTTATTTCAGTGTGCTCCGTTGTGGTGATGACTGGATGTGGAAGACATACAATTTCTCTTTGGCTAGGAAAAAGGGACAAACTTGCCTCGGTGTAGGCTACGGAAAGGGCAGATTCTTTTGCTTATTTGAAATGGGAGATATGATGATTTTCAGCATTGACAAGAATGAGACGAGAATAACCTTTGCTTCTTAAGCGACTCGAGCAATGGGACAGTTTGTGTGTTGTGGCAGTGGTGACAAAAAAAGCCACGTCTGGAAGTGATCAAAATCATGAGATAGGAAAGATTATGAAGTTTATGATAATCACTCATTGGGAGCGAGATTATGAGGCGCGTGACAAGAACAACTTCAAATTGGTGGCAGTGGTGGAAAAAATTACCACGACGGCAAATCTATTACTGGATAATGATGATGATGATTGTGAGATAGTGTCAACGCTGGAGGATGGGAAAAACAACAAGGGATTGATTGTAGCGAAAGACAGACTGCCATTGAAGAGGAGTTTCCACAGCTTTTATATTGTCGCACTATCTTTTCTTCCTCCTCTGGTTCTCCTTCTTGGTGCTTCTTGGATTGTTAGCCTTTTGATTCGCAAGTTGAAGTGTGGTTAAACTCAATGTAATGAAGGGGCAGGGCTTGTGATTTTTTGGTTGAATAAAATTGAGCTGACGATGCAAAGCATTATTAGTTTTTATATTGTTGTACTTGTAGCACACCTTATAAAAATTATTTGCAGTCTTAAAAATTGAAATTGATTCTTCAAAGTGATTTGTAGTCCCTCATGTGATCTCAATAAAGATTTACGAAATCATGTTTTGGTATATGATAATCTTTAAAATAACCACTACAAGAAAATAGGGGGTATAGAGACCATACAAATATATCTCTAGAGGGCATTTATTTGTCTCTATATTCCTACAGATACACATAACACATTTGTCTTAAGTAGTGTTGTTGTTGTAGCTGTATAGAAACAAATATGGAGACAGATCTCATTTGTTGCCGAATTGAAATATAGCCACTAATATTTTAGTATCTAATATCTCTTTCTAATGACTATTGTTTTGCATTTATATCTAATTTTACCAACACAAATATCCGTCTCTAAATAATTTTTATTGACAAATAATTTTGCCTATAATATCAGTTTGAGGGACAAATCATTATTTTTAGAGACAAATAATTTTGCCTCAAATATTATTTGTAGAGGCAAAAAATCATGTTTATGAGGAGATCTTTTGTCATCTTTATATGAAAAAATTAGGGTTAATACCACTGGAAATACCATCCTTTAGCGAAAGTGTCATTTATATTACGTACTTTCAATAAACACAAAAATATTCCAACGTATTAGGGGTTTGTGTCATTTGTGTTACACAAATTTTTGTTGACCGTTAGAATTGACGGTTGACCTGACGGTGGTCAACTTATGTTTGACTATTGCTTATGTGGTGCTTAGGTGTCACCCGCATATGTGCCACGTAAGAAATTACTATTTTAAAAATATTAATTTTATTTCAAAAATAAATAAATATTATTAATTTATTTTAAAATACTTTTTTTCTAAATAATCTTTCTCTCGCCTCCCCATCGTTATGCCCATCTGCTTCTTCTGTCGATCACCAACGCCGCTCTGACGACGGAGGCAGGAAGCTCGTCTTCTTCCTTCTCGATTAGCGGTCGTTTCTGATCTTCCACTTGCACAGGCAAGCCGGGATCTGGGCGACGCGAGAGAGCTAGTCTAAATCCCTCTTCTCCTCCACTTATATCTCCTTCTCCATCTCACCACCCAATCGCAATCGAACCGCCATCGTAATTTCCGCCGGCAAGATCCGAAGCGCGATGTCATTGAGATAAAAGATAGGGATTTGCACTTTGCAGCGGCTGAAAGGGGAAGGGACGCTGGAGATTTGCGAGGTGGTAGGGGAAGGGACGCTAACCATTTGCAGTTCTGTCTGGGTGGTGGAATCGGAGATTTGCGAGCCTACACCAGCTAGAAATCCCCATTTTCATTCCACGATCTCATCAATCGATTCGCTCACTTTTCCCTCCAATTCTCGAAGCGTCGCCGGCAAAGGAGTAGGGGAAGGATGAAATTTCGCTCAGGGAGAAGGGGACAGTGGGGATTGAAGTTTATTCCCAATCGAGAGAGATAGGGAAGATAGGGGAGATCAAGAGAGATAAGAAAGTTTCCTTTTTCCATTTGTTTTTTTTATTTTGCTTTTTACAATTTTTTTATTAAATTTTTTCACATCTGCCATGTCATCCATGATTGTGTTTTTTGTTAACTTCTAACAGAAAACTTAACAGTCGGTATACAATTGTCATATCGAAAGTTATATAATATAAATGACACTTTCGCTAAAGTATGGTATTTCCAGTGGTATTAGCCCAAAAAATTATTCAAATCCAATTTTATTGAGACAATCGAATGCACAAACCACTGCATAAAAAACAATTCAAATACATGTACAATCAGTTTACATTTACAAAATGGGTTTAGATTTAAATTACTGCAGAAATACAAATAAAGCCTCTCCTAATATATCCAGATATTAGTTTTCCCTTCCGTTACAAATAAAACACCTCAATCAAATACAAGAAACCATCTAAAGCTCTTCCCCTCATCAGACTATATAATGAAGTCGTTTCTCTCCGCTTGAACAATCCTCTCCTGTTATTCCTTGTTTGATTCCATACACATCTAGTCTACAATACAGACAACCATACATTAAACTTCATTGTAACCAACTCAAATCAACAAAAAGAAAGGATGAAAAAACAAAACGATGACGTCGGGCATGTCGATCTAGTAAAGTAATCACCGTTGTCATACCCGGCCGGCGGATAGACGTTGTCGTCTCGATGGCCACATACCTTGACATATCGACGGCTGGGAAGTGGAAATCCCTCTAGTAAAGTAATCACCGTTCCTCCTGTCAGCGAGCCAGCGAAGACGAAGAGTGAAGAGAGGGACGACAAGTGAAAGAGTAGTGGAATGCAAATAACTAAATGTGAGAGATATATTAGTAAGAACAAACACTAACCACAATGCGATGCGGCGTAGAGAAGTTGGTGTGGCGGTGGAGAGGAGGCGTGAAGCAATAAATGGGACAATAAAATTAGCCTACCTTATATTGTAAGTATTATCTATGCTTTGTAATATAAATTATAAGGACTAGATTGTACCCCGGTCTGTTGGCCGGTTGCAATACGATAACATTAATCAATAAAAGTTTGAAGATAGTTTCTTAGTTTTTACCATTCAAAAAGTCAAACTATTCAATTGTAGAGAAAATAAAAAATGAGCATCCATGATATATATTACTACATTGTACTAAGTGTCTCAACTCATAATAAATTTAATTACAATATTATACGTACTCCAAGATGATTGTTATCACTTCTTTACCGTAAATAATTTCCATCATCAACTGACGCTTCTTTTTGTACATGTTTTGCGAAAAAAAATTCAAAGATGAAACATAACCATATATGAAATATTATTTTCCTGACAAATTAATTCACCTCATTCTAATCACACATTTTCTTGGAGATCATTGATTATGTTCAAAACTGTTAATTCAGTTATGTAATTTGCGATGTTGTACTCACTAAACTTGATGTGGAATTTCAACTTCATTTCATTTCTTTTGAAAATATTTTATTCCTTCATTTAATAATACATAAGAGAGAGTTGGTATTGTTCTTCCCCGATTTAAATATTTTTTAAATTGTCAACTTAGTATTGGATAAAATACAAGTTAGCGTAAATACAATGAAAAAGAATTAGGAGCTTTATTCAATCATTAGATTCAAACTGATATTTACCTTAATGGCATATTTCTATTTCATGTTTTAAGTAATTATATTGATAATTTAGCCAAAGGTCACATAGCTTAGTGGTGAAATCCTTGTGGTCGCTCGGAAAGTGACAGATCATGTGTTCCACCACCTTCGAGGCCCACTGTGGTGTTCCCGGAGGCATCTTTGCAAACAAAATTAATTGAAGCTCGACCTAACCCATTATGACCTACCGTATTCTTCGTTATTGTGTAAATTATGTGTAAATTTACAGAAATTACATAATTTTACTTTAATTACATCATATTTTAGCTATAATAAAGTCATAAATAATTGAAAACCTCAATTTCTCGAAAAATTTAACTACACTTATCATTTTATAGTTTATTTGTCAATTTTTAATGCAAAAATTAATTTATCAAGTGTTTTTCTGTTACAATACATACCCGTATGAGTTGACATGTCGTGATCCGCGTCTAAAAATAAAATACCCAACCTGTAATGGGGCGAGTATGGATATCGATATACCTGCCCGAAGTGCGCTATTGTCATTTGTATTCAAGCTCGCCTATTTGGTTTTTGGCTGTGTTGATTTTGGGTTAAGGTCTTTTTGCATTGTTTAATAATGTTGCCATGTAATCAACCCCACCAAGAATGAAACTCATATCCTTTACAAAATAAAAAGCAAAGGATCATTTGAGGGGGAAAAAACATCGCGACCCAGAAATATAGATACGCGAAAAAGAAAAGAAACTTATTTCTGAATTAAAAATAGAAAACCAAAAAGACCATATGCTCCTTCCTAACTCTGCGCGCGGACCAGAAAAAATAGAATGAAGTGGGTTTTGGAGGAGAACCTCCTTATATTGTTTGGAGGATTGTGAAATCGTATCGAAAGTTATATCTAAAATTTCGATGGTACGATATTTCGTATTAAAATCGTGGTTCGACCATAGTTCAACATTTTACTACCTTTGGTTATGGTATCTAGAATCGAGTGCTATACAATATTTCGTATTAAAATCTTGATTCAACAGTATTTCAACATTTTCCTACCTCTGATCATGACATATAGAACCGAGTGCTCTAGGTTATACGGCATCTTCATCAAGAAATCGTTGTGAATTCCTAAACTAATGGCTGATAGTAATTGATAGTGCAGTGGACTAGGCCAGGTCACCACTGCCGAGTGCTTTAGGTTGAGCATAAAATATTCCGAGCTTTCTAATGGAACAAAAACAATGGAGGATTATGGTTGGGGAACTGAATGTATAGTTCCATACCGTTGGCCATTCTCCATACCTTTTCCCCCCGATAAGTCCATTCTCCATATCATAGTGTAGTATCAGTATCGCTACAAAATTTTGTTCATCAACACGACTAATTACTTTATTCATCTAAGATATCCCAACTTCCTAACCAAATCATGCTAAATCTCGACTCATGAGAACCAACACATAAACTTTCCACCTGATCTCCTCTTGTTGTCCCTAGTAAAGGCATGAGCTTTGCTGAGCTTCTAGGATAGGCCAACACTGGCTCGTTGCTTGATGAAGCTTTCATGTCGGCAATCTCTTCCAGGTGGCTTCCTGTCTCGACTAGATCTCACCTTCCCAAGATTCGTGCTCCTGGAACTTGAACAAGCATGCATCGGATAGCTCCAGATCAGCGTCGGAGAATATCTTCCAAACGTTCAGTGTCAGGCTTTGCGCAGCCTGGATCCAATGGCGCCTGGCGTTCCTCTCCAAGGGAAGTTGATGGGTAATTTTATCTGTCGGTCCAGCTTGATTGGATTCTAGACGTGATTGTTGTTCCATAACAACAAAGTCCTCTCTGCCACCTGCAAATCAAGGATAGTTTTCTAAGAGAGAGATACTGCTGAATTCGAGGGTTACAAAGGAGTTCAGAAACCTGTAAAACTGCAGCTAAAGTGGAAGGCTAGTGTTCAAGCCTTAAAGAAACGTATGATATACACTTTCTCCAGAATTCTAATTCTCACAGTTGAGAGCATAATAGCTCTAAAACCTGCCCCAGCTGGTAATAATAAGCCACCAGCCCACCGCCCACCAGTATGTTCACAAACTGAGATCTTGGACGGGCCGGGTTAGAACAAATTTGGTCATTGAATTCACCAATATGTATTACATCGGGCACTAAACTCGGGATTGAGCCAACCAAAGCACCAAACTCACCCTGATATGTCCCCATGAACATTTCTGTTTCCCATCTTACCTACAACATAACTGCAAAAAAACTGACAAAAAAATGAAAATGCGGATTGATCAGGACAAGGTTGGGTGCTTTAGTAGTCTCGACCCCTACTTTTGCGCCCCAATGTGATACATGTAACCAAATTCGTATTTGCGCCATCTTGAGCAGTTGATGATTCACGAAAGGAAGTGAAACGAAGAAACCAACTTTGTCCATTTCAAGTGTTACTATAAACGATAAAATTCAGTTCAACTATCAAGGGGCTACCTACTAAGATACCTGAAAATGAGAACTGATCAGGCACCAATAAATCTGGGCATACAAGGAACCATGTGCAACGTTGAAATTTTGCAGGCTGAATAGCTTCCAGAACTTCCTCCAGCTCACTAAAGAATATCACCTCTTCAAAACTGTTCGACACTGGCCAATACTTCAGCAAACCCCTGATCACAAAGTATTAGCAAGTTAGCAGTCTTTCTCCGTGAACTGAGTTATGCAGTACGAGAATTGCTGGTGATACATCATCAAGCACTTCAATTTATGCAACAGAACAAGAGTTTGAACTAGAAATAACTTGTGCTCTTCCTTCAGTAGCAGCGCAAAGCCATTGATGATACACCCCAAAATCACCAGCAGCACAGTAATCCCATCATGTGTCTCGGTCTTAAATATGAACCGGTAAAATATATTGTTGATCGTCTTCCTAATGAAGGACCCGACACCTTCAATTTGCCATAGATTCAATGCAGGACCCTTTGCAAATAAAAAAAATACTCCCTCTCCCAGTTCCTATGAATCAAAGAGATCGAGTAGCCTTAGTATAAAAAAGTTATTTAGTGTTTAGCTAGTTTTGCATAGGTTTCAGGTGATGCCACAAACCTCAATAACAGTCATACACAACTTGCAAGTGGGTTCACGCGGGGTCCATCGATGGCTCTTCCTGTTCAACATTGAATGCTTCCAATGCTTTGTTCTCATGAGGTGAAGAAGTAGCGGTCTAAACAGATTTGGAGAGACCATTCGGACGAGTTATTGCATGACTCGGGAAACTTTGCATTGGCAGAGGAAATATAGTCCACAAGCTCTGCCATGTATGCCTCTTGATGTCATTTTCCTTGAGGTTATAAGGGGGATCAGTGAAATAAAAAATGACCGAACATAAGATCACCTTTCTGATGATCAAATTCTACTCCTCTGAATTTGGAACTTCCTGGAAGCTTGGCAAGGCCCCTCGTATGAAGGTTGATTACCATGATCTGGAAGGAAACAAGAGGATCAGACGGAAACAAATCTGGGTACGATCTGAAGAGCCAAAAGCGGCCTGCAATCAATAGAACAAAAGCCAAAAAACAGAAAATGCATTAATTACTCATCGACCCAATATCACAAACGATGGAAAAAAGTATCAGATTGTGAAACCCAAATAAAAAGGGGAAAAGGCATAAAGAGGCGGCAAACAATCTCTCTTTAATTGCTTGGCAGAGTGAATAATCAAAGAGAGATTGTGAGATAACTTGGAATAAAGACCGATAAGATCTCAAAGGCGAGTCAAATAAACATAAAGACCATTGTTTCTTAAGGATGGGCTGCTCCCCCTATTGGATGACCTGCTAACCAAACTAGAGTGGAGAAGCAAAAATTATTCAGCAGAAGTTTCACATATAGGGTTGCTCATTCACTTATATGCACAAATGACATGCATATCTAGTTCTATAGAAAAACTGAAACAAACAAAGTAACCAAAATTCATTATATCATTGTGAACATAAATTGGGCAGCCACATATCATGAAATGCTTCCTGAACAAATGAAAGCACCATCATGAACAGACAAGTAGACAATTAATTTTTTAATCATTTTCTCACATTTCCCTTAAAAGTGGTCAAAGGCTAACTTTTGTTGCCTGAACCATGAAATTAACAAGCCTAAACAGGAAGAACCCGCTGAAACAGATCCTGAAGACTCTAGAAACGTTTGAATTCTATGGAATTCATATTCCTGAGTCTGTTCCTCAAATCTTGAAATAGCTTAGTAAATATACATCATTCACTGGCACAGGTAAAAAGACAGCTAGATTTTTCAAGAGTAGCTTTGATTCATTGTGGGGAAATGGTAACCTACGAATCCAAAGCAACACGTATATGCAGGATAGATTTGACAAGAGTAGCTTCTAGCCCTTGTAGGGAGATGGTTACCTACAAGAGTCAAAACTCAAAGCAACATGAATAACGTATAACACTTCAATGACCACATTTTTCTAGAATATTTACAATAAACTTGTTCATTAGCCAGTAAGATATAACCAATTATAGATTATCCCGCATCAGTCTCTAGCCACTCATCACAAACAGGAGGATAGGCTTCTTTCAGCAAAAGACTTCTGTTCCCCATTAGGCCATTACTGCAGCTAAATATAGGAGGAAAACCTAGGACAGACGTAAGAAGTTCCAAAACTCCCAGGAAGTTGAGCTTAACAATCAAATGCCATATGACATAAGCTTCCTAAGCCTAGTATCCGGCATTGTACATAAAGTAGTAAAGTACTACCATCTAATAACTTGCAGACTACGATTCAGAGCCCAGGAACTGCAAATTCCACAAACTAATTACCTAGAACCACAAAGCTCCAAGCAAATGACCAGCATTGTCAGCTGCTCCTCCCATTCATGACATTTATGTTGTTGCCGTGCTGGTCGATATCGGATCGTCGAGGTGCACCGGGCTTGTTGCTGTTAGTGGGCTTGCCTTTGGAATGAAGCTTCGAATCTGGGTCGGGAGGGTTGAGGGCGAACTCCGAGAGGAAGATCCGGATGGAGAGGGAAGTAATGGGATCGATATGAATGTCCTTGGTGGCGACGCCATCGACGAAGGAAGGGTTGGAGGCGGTGACCGACTCGTTAGGCCGATAGCTTTTGGAATCGGCATCGATCGGCTGTGAATCCGAGACTGCAAGCGGTGCTTCAAGAGGAATACACTGTACAACTTCACCCACGCTCGTCATTTCTTCCCCCGGCTCTTCCAGCGACCCAAAACGGCGGAGAACGCAAACAAAAGACAGAAATGACGAAAACCCGTTTCTCCTCTCCTCCCTCTCTCTCTCCTTAAATCTCCGTCAGGGCGCCTGATTGAGTTTAGGGTCGGACTATGGTGGGAGGATGGGGGAGGGAGAATTATGGATAACGCATATGGTAAGGATAGGAATCGTGGAAATTGGGTATTAGGGTTTTGTTCTCGGGATTTGGATGGATTGATGGGGGTGGAGGAAGAGGTAGTGGTGGTGGCGGTGGCGGTGGCGGTGATGGCTGAGGTGGAAAGATGGGGAGAAGGGTGATGAATGATGATGAAGGGACAGTTTAGTCGAGGAAGAAAAGGAGAAGAGAAAAAAATTATTGGATGGGCTTAAATTTACGCTCTGCTTTTGGGCCGCTTACTGGGATCTCTTAATTGATGAATTGGGGAATTGGGCTAAATGCTGGTTTCGAAAACACTCAATTAGGATTTAGGATACACAAACAATATTTGTACGGTTTAACATTCTTTGATTTGTTTTTAATTTTATACATAAACAATACAAGTATTGTTCGAGGGAGGTTTTTGATGGTCAAATCTCATATTTTATATAAGATTATTGTAGTTAAGGAAGATTTTTGGGTTCTTTTTCGTTGAATTTTTGGATTTTTTTTTGTTCGAACTATATTCGGACTTTTTATATGTGTTATTTCCTTCTATTAAACCCTAATGTTGAAAGTGATATTTCACTCAATAAGAATGATTTTAGTGAAAAGCCGGTTTTCAGTGAAGAGCAATTCTGACATACATTCGTGAATAAAGTATAAATATTTTGCTTATACTTATTAAAAAAGTTTGTTGCACATATTTTTTTTATGTGGCGCTTAAAATTGTGTTGCGTCACTAGTATAGCTATGCAACTTTTTTTTTTTGCAAAATGTATTAATTATTACTTTATACAATGTCATGAATAAAGTATAAATATTTTGCTTATACTTATTAAAAAGTTCGTTGCATATATTTTTTGATGTGGTGCTTAAAATTGTGTTGCGTCACTAGTATAGATATGCAACGCTTTTTTTTCTTTTGCAAAAAGTGTTAGTTATTATTTTATACAATGTCATTTTTAGGCTGCATCTTTACACTTCTCATAACACATAAAGCGTAAAGGCTTTTTTCGATAGTGCTTACAATGGCTCAACACATATAACTAAAAATCTCTGAGATTGATTTTAGCTAGCTAGAAGCCATTCATGATCATGAGATTTGATATGGTAGCTATGAGAGATTGGCCAGCACTTGCTCGTTGCTCGACCAATGAAGCTTTCATGGTGGCTATCTCTTTGATGGAGCCATTTCCATGTGACATGTTTAATTCTCGTCTTGACTTGTACATTTTTCCTCTTGCGCTTTGTCTTCCTAAAATTGGTGAAGCATTTCTTCGATGACACCTCCAATTCAAATTAGTATCGTTGGAGAATGTCTACGGTAGCTCGACTAGAGTCAGACTTGATTTGCACAAGTGTCATAACCACAAGGACTTTGTAAATTGGGATTGAGATGATACCATGGAATATATATTAAAACAAAATGACACCTTTGTCATAACATGATAAGTGTAAGGGCTAATTAAATACCGGACAATGACCTGGTGGTGCATTCAGAATTCAAGCTAAGTAAAATCTCATTTAAGAAACTTATTTGACACCATTGATTATTGAATTGCGTAACTTATTTTTCGCGCGTGTACCACATTTATAACCAACCAGAGAAATTTACACTTTCTTTTTGCATGTTTATAATACTAAAAATTGTCTTAGTTACTAACGAATCAATAAATTAAACCACATACGATCAAAGAATCACATGAAATTATGAATAGTGAAAAGGTAATGTGAAAACATAATTTGGAAAAGAGCAAATTCATAGTATTGACCACTCCACCGGCCTTTAAATTAGCCACTTCCCTCTCCTCATATTGTAACAAACAATCCAACAATTACATTACAGTTTCACCTTTTGTGTGCATAATTGTAGACCTAACCGATCTAGTTGATTATAACTCCATCATAGAATATACAAACTTTAAAACGAGGATGCAAACTCGTATCACATTCAAAATGAAAAAGTTCATCGAAACCACAAAAAAAAATAAAGACAGAAAAGATCCCAAAAAGGAAAGTCGACAAAATACGAATATGGAAGAGGATCAGCGACCATGGACCAACGTATGTCCAGAGCTCTTGGATTCCATCTACAAGAGACTTCCATCCCACGTCGATGGTACACACTTCGGCAACGTTTGTAAGAACTGGCATCGAGTCCACTCCCGCATCGCACTTTCTAATCCACTACCGGTGTTCATCAAACGTGCGAAATTGACCAGCTCAGACGTCATCCAGGTGCAAGAGGGTGGGCGACTTTTGCTAAAACGGCGTCGTGAATCTCTAATCCCGCATTGGCTTTCGGGTGCAGAAATAACGATCATCGGGAGGGCGGGTGCGTGGTTTCTTATAAAAGTGAATGACATTTACTTGGGTTGTTACAATCCTCTACTTCGAACTCCTGCAGACTACATCAGACTTCCCCAGCCGAGTTGGCATTTTTCTAACTCTAATTGTCATCACACACCAGACACAAAAATCAAAATTGCTTTTTCAGCACTACCCACTGCTCCCGGCTCGATGATTCTCATGGTGTATGCAGACCTCTATTTCAGCGTGCTTCGTCGTGGGAAAAATGGATTTGAGCAAAAAACATAAGATTTTTCTTTGCGTGGTAAAAAAGGACAAATTTGCCTCGGTGTGGGTTATAAAGATGGAAGATTCTTCTGCTTATTTGAAATGGGGGATATGTTGATCTTCAGCGCCGACAAGAACGAGATGAGGATGTTGTTGGCAGCGATTAAGCCTCTCCTTCCTGAGAAACTCTCTCGATGGAATGATTTGGGTGTTATGGCGGTGGTTGAAAAAATAGTCATGACTGCAGATGATCGATATCATGAGGAACGAGAAATGCTTATGTTTATCACTTATTGGGAGCGAGATTATGAGGCAAGTGAGAAGGATAACTTTCGGCTGGTGGGAGTGGACGAACAAGTTATGACGACAATGCGTGATCTATTATTTGAGAATGATTATGAAAAGGCATTTCTGGAGGATTGGAGCAACAAGGGATTTATTTTAGTGAAAGAACAGTTGCCATTGAAGATGAATTTGGAAAGATGTTCCTTGAATATGGTACTATTTATTGTTTCTGAAGTAGTTCTCATTTTTGGTTTTATCTTAATCCTTGGATTCAAAAATTGATTGTCAAGTTATTCCCTTAATTTTATGGACATAATAAGGCAAGTTAAACCTAACATTTAAGAGTTGTGAAAGGATAGGAAATGTTATGATATTTTCTTCTTTTCTATTTGTGTTTGTTGCTAAAAGAACGAACTGGAGGACAATTTACTGCAAGGCGCAAGCTAGGTTTGCAGGCCAACCCTGCTACCCCTTCACTTGTCATTCATTGGCTCAAACTTCTTTCCTTTTTCCATTTTTATAAGTTGGATAACATATGCATGCATGGTGTTGGATGAGAGATTCTCAACCCTAATAGTGTTAAATCTTGACAATTATAAATACAAAAACATCAACTTTGCTTAATTTGCACAAGTGTTATATAATGCACAAGGTCTTTAAGATACTCTGACCTATCACAACCTCTAGGACGATACCAGAAAATTTGTGAAAACATGACAAGTAATTAAGTATAAAGACTAATTGTAAGCACAAGATCTACCAATTTATCATACAGGCACATTATTCGACCTAAGCGAGCGAGATCCGGTTTAGAGAAACGTCTAATAACATCGCATATTCACATTTATTTGTACATGCATCAAACTCATCGATTATTTGATCGCGTGGAACGTATTTGTCATGTACTTCACATATGGAAAAGTGATCTTCCCATAGCTAACCATAACATAGCAATTGAGTATTAGTTTCACAAGCAAATAAATTATCGAATCAGGATTATAAGAGCACATTTGATGTCCGAGTCAGTAACCAATCAAGTTATTGTCTACTATATAATAGAATGCAAGTTCAGGATATTTGAATTCAGAGGGAGCTTTATATATGTAGACATGCTGAACATAGAAATGAAGAAAACCAAAGTGAATGAACTAAACGATATCCTGTGAAATCCTTCCCTAGGAAGGATGATATGGATGGAACTTCGATTGGATTTCGTGTATCTCCTCGTCGGCCCCATCTATTCCCTACGAAGGAAGGATTAGGGACAGTCAATTTGTCTTGGAGAAGCCGGAATCAAAAACTCCTAATTGTGCAATTGGTCACCGAATTTTGTAAAATTGCTGCCGGATTATGGTAATTTGAAATTTCCCGACGACGAGAAATTTGGGAAGGCTGAATTGCGACAAATTGAAGCTGGAAGCAGGCTGGGAGTTGCTGGAACTGATTCCTGGGATCCAGGAAAGTCGATTACGAGTGGTAGATTGGAACGAGCAAGCTTCAAGATGAAATTCCCAAATTTGGAACACTCGCCGGAAAATTTGAGCCTGTCGGAAATTGGAGAAATGCAGCGACGTGTTCTGTGTTTGATTGAGCAAATTTTTTGCGTGGGAAAGGTCCATTGGAGTCCCACGAACATCATAGCATTCGAATCGTGGAAAACAGCAGCAAGATCACAAGTTGACGATGGAAAAAAATCATTCCCATTGACAAAGAATGATCGATGAATCACTTATATACTACTATGGTATAATTATATGAACTCTCAAGCATTATCATCAGGTTTTTTGTTCAAAATATATCAAAGAGGATGTCATTTTTAAGAACACAACTAATCTGATTTGTGTGTGAAAAAATGAATTACGACTTAAGATGAAAATGATATAGCCTACTAAAATTAATAGAGAAGGAGAAATAACCATGGTTTATGCATCTCTATCTGGACCTCGGTTACCTAAATGGGTTTGTATGTTATTAGTTGAATAAAATAACTAGGAAGACTGGTATGTATATTGTGATATTAATCCGTCGGTAATAGAACTAGGATTACAATCTATCTAAAAGCCAACAAATTGAAAGCGACCTCTCCAAATCATTCAACAAAAACAAGATGGCATTCTCGTTCGAGAAAATATTATCGTTACTTTGAACTTTCGCATCCAAATCTACAAAATAAAAATCTATCAAATATCAAATCTTGCAAAAAGTTTGGAGTTCTCTTTGAATCTGACGATTCATCCACCATGGTTAGTAAAAATAAATGATACTATTGACCATTTCATAAGGCGTTAAAGCAATAGTTTCCTTCCATCCCGTCAAATTATAACCAACAATCTAAAAATAATATTGCAGTTTCACTTTATGCGTGCATATTTGTAGACCTAAAAAAATATCATTGACTATAACTCCACCATGTAATATACACCCTTTTAAAATGAGGATGCAACGTCGAGTCACGTTCACAAAAAAAAAGAGTTCTAAAACGACAAAAAAGTTCAATAAGAATTGTAAACAAAAAGGATCCGGAAAATAAAGTTGATAGAGAATGAACATGGGGGATGATCAACGACCATGGGCTGATATATGTTCAGAGCTATTGGATTCCATCTACAGGAGACTCCCATCCCACGTCGATGGTACTCATTTTGGCGGTGTATGCCAAAACTGGCACCAAGTCCACACTCAAGTTGCCCTTTCCAGCCCCCGGCCTGTGTTGATCGGCCATGCAAAATTGTCCAGCTCGGACGTCATCCAAGTGCGGGAGGGTAAGCGGCTTGTCCTCAAGCGACGTCGTAAATCTCAAATCCCATATCAGCTTGCAGATGTAGACATAAGGATCCTTGGGATGGCTGGAGCGTGGTTGCTTATAATAGTGCGTGACGCTTTCTTAAGCTGTTACAATCCTCTACTCAGGAGTCCCGCAAACTACATCAGCCTTCCAAATCCAAGTTGGCGTTTTTCTAACTACGACAACCATTATAGACCGGGCACAGAACTCAAATTTGCTTTCTCATCACTACCCACTGCTCTCAACTCGACGATCCTCGTGGTGTTTGGAGACTGCTATTTCACCATGTTTCGTCGTGGAAGAAATGATGAATTTGAGCAAAAAACGTATGATTTCTCCTTGGGTGGGAAGAAAGGACAAACATGCATTGGCGTGGGCTATGAAGATGATAGATTCTTTTGTTTATTTGAAATGGGGGATATGTTGATTTTCGGTATCGACAAGAATGATACAAGAATGTTGTTGGCGGCAACTAAGTCTCTGCTTCCCGACCAACTCCCGCGATGGGACAGTCTGCTTGTTGTGGCGGTGGTGGTAACAAAAAAAATTGCGACTTCAAATGATCGATACCATGAGGCAGGAGATCAGGTGATAGGGTTTAGGATGGTCACTCATTGGCAGCGAGATCGTGAGGGGAGCTTCCAGCTAGTGACAGTGAAGAAAAATGATCTGACGACAAACGATCTATTATTGAAGAATAACAATGGTAATGACAAAGAGGGAAATAGCAGATCAACAAAGGTGATTTTAGTGAAAGATCGGTTGCCATTGAAGAGAACTTTCGACATATATTATAATACCATACTGCTTTTTCTTCCTTTCATACTTGTCTATTCTTTTCTTGCTTTGATAATTATAAGGTGTGGTTCTGACCGGTAAAATTCGAACCGATTTGTTTTCTAATTGTTGCATGCTTTGCTTGAATTGGTCCTTTGTTTCGCAAGTGGATTCTTCGAACATAGAGAAATATAATGAAGGGGTACATAATGCTTGTTATTATTACTAGCTTGGATCTGGCCAACTGTCCGGAAATTTTTAAGTTTTTTATTTTGTAAATTACCTAACATATAGATTTTATTAGGGATTCTTATTTTTAATTTTTTTATCAAATAAAATTCGTCGTTATTTATCATCGCTCCTTATTTCTGTAACTAATTCATAGCCTACATGACTCACGCTCATGTGCATAACTCAACCTCATATTGTTTTTAATTATATTAGTCATAGAAAAATACCTCAAACTCTACTCCCTAAATAATGATAACAAAACAATATATCTAACATCCAAAAATCTATAACCGCAAAATGAAATATGATTCAAATGCAGTTATTTTCATGAAATCATTTGGAATGAGTATAGATCAATGAAGATTAAAATTGCTAACTTTTTTTCCAAGAAAAGAAATTTATCCAAAAATGAAAAGGATTTTATTTTAAAACATAAAGGAAAAGGAAGTGAAAAGAAAGATAAAAGGTGGTTGGTGAACCGATAATGTGTAATAATTGCTAGGTATTCTTTTTTATTAGGGCTAGTTGCTAAGTTAAAAGCTGAATAAGGGGGGAAACGAATAGACAAAAAAGAAAGGGAAAAAGTAGTTACACGCTCTCGAGTCTCTATAATAAACATATTTGTACAGAAACGCAGTAGTTTTAAAGTAAAAAAAATTCCTAGTTGCCATGAGCTGTTTGATATTCCGTTAAGATTTGGAGAAGAGAATTCCCATAAAAAAAGATTTGGTGAAGAGAGCAGGCGAAAACATCGAAAAGAGTTTGCGTGGTTGTGCCTGTGGGTAATAGTTGGGCTGACAGGGCTGGCCCAAAACCCATGTGGATTCTGAATCAGTAGCAGCAGTTTCGGCCTTTGATGTTGGCCGAGTACAAAGTCTTTCAACGGGCTAGGAGCAACTTATTAGCAAATACATTGAGCGGGAAAAACGGGAATTAAGGAAGTGAGATAGACTTTTGAATACTGAAAATACCCTTCCTCAATTTAAAGGAGGGCATGCCATTTTGAATACTGAAAATTATGTAAAACTTCAATTTTAATTATTCTTTTGATTTTGATTTTGATTTTGATTTTGTTATTATTATTTTTGGCCGAATAAAATTCCAACATAGAGTAGATTTTGTCTATTTTCATCATTTCAAAAAATTTCCTTCTTTTTGAAATTTTTATGGGTGTGATAATAATTGTCCAACCTAGTTACATGCCCAATGTTGGTGATGGAGGAGATAGAGTGCTAACACTGTATCGAACTTTTTATTTACTCGTGGGATCCGTCCGATGTTGGTGATGGAGCATATGGAGTGCTAGCACACTACTAACACATTTCATTAAGGGATCGTTTGATCCGGGTGATAATTTTGTTGATATTGTTAGTTTGTTACAAAATTTATATTGTTCACGATCATTTTTTTTTATTTTCTACACAAACATTACAAGCATTATTTGCTTGATGTGAAAGAAACCATAACTTAAAATAAGTGATAGTTAAATGTAACACCCCGACTTTGGATTCAGGTTCGACCAAAATACAGGAACGGTTGGGTTAACGGTTACGTACGAAGGGTTGCAACCGTGAATTAGTAATAATAATTTATTATATTATTATTACTAATTAATATATATATAAAACCAAAAATCTCAACCCGAAGGAAGAGACGAGTTTTAGCCGCCCAAATCCCTAATTCCGCCGCCGGGAACAGCTTCCACTCTGCAAACCATAGGGAACATAATCGTTTCCATCGTCGGCACCGGAATCCTAGGCCTCCCTTTCGCTCTCCGGGTCGCCAGCTGGCTTGCTGGATCGTTCGCGATCATCGTTGCTGGGATTTCTACTTATTAATGCATGATTCTCCTCGTTCAATGCAGGGATAAAATGGCAACCGAGGAACCCACCACGGAAACAAGAACATGTGGTGATCTGGTGAAAGGAGAAATTTTACAATGCTATATAATATTGGTGCTATAGGTTTTTGTCTTTATGGTACAACTTAAAATCGTACATTTACGTTATGGTACAACTTCAGATTGTACCTATACTTTTTGTACAAATTCTTTTATGGTACAACTTGAACTTGTACCTTTATGTGATGGTACAACTTCAAGTTGTAAAGTTGTACCATAACATAATGGTACAAATTGCTTTATGGTACAACCTAAACTTATACATTTAATGTTATGGTACAACTTTGAGTTATACATTAAAACACCAATGCTATATAGCATAGTAGAAGTGCTCTGGTGAGAGAGGATGTCCAAAAACGTTTTTGGTGGGTATTTTAAGTTCAGTGACAGGCAAGCAATCTCGCCTGGTCCTGGTGGCTTGCCGTTTGCTTTAAGAATGTAGAACTTGATGATCCAGGAGAAAGCTGAAACCGTAACGGTAATGGAGAGTTTGGGAAGCTAAAGCGCGCCTGCAATACCCAGAAGTGTATCCGCGCGGGAGGGAAGCATATCGATCTTGACGATGTCGGGAAGGACACATACCACCATACATTCTTTGCGATGCTGGGGAATTGGTCGTTTGGCGATTATTTTAAGAAAGAGGCAATTGAATGGGCTTGGGAGCTCCTAACCAAGGTGTATGGACTTCCCGAGGATCGTATCTATGCTACTTACTTCGAGGGCGATGAGAAAGCTGGTCTAGCTCCTGATAATGAAGCGAGAGACATGTGGCACGAATTGTTGCCGCCTGGAAGAGTGCTTCGGTGCTTCCATTTGGTTGCAAGGACAATTTTTGGGAGATGGGTGATACCTGTCCATGTGGTCCTTGTACAGAAATACATTTCGATAGGATCGGTAATCGGGATGCAGCATAATCGGGATCCCACGTGCATTGAGATATGGAACCTAGTGTTTATTCAGGGCTTAACGTGAAGCTGGTCTATTCCAAACCCGGCCGATACAAGAAAGAGGGAGAACTTGGAACCTCTGAGCACAATCAGCAAAACCTATCGAACTTATAGGTGGAGACCTTCAACGATTAAGTAAGGTGAGTGTAAATGGGGTAAATTCAACACCTTACGTATTCTTTTAAGCATTGTGATTTTAAGTATTTTAGCGAATTGGTTATCGTTGCTTGGTTATGTGTATGATTGATTATTTGTGCTTTGCTTGAGTTATGGTTTGAGATGATTTTGTGCTATTTGAGGTGATTTTGTTTGAGCTATACTTGAAGTGAATGTTTTTAGTTACTTTGAAATTTTTACGAGTATAAGTTATTATTAAAGAGTAAGAAACGAGTTCTTTTAAAGAGGTAACTCACCTCAAGAAGGTGAAGTTGTTTTAAGTGTTTTTAGTCGCTAGCGCCAGTCCGTTGCCTTTTGAGATTTTCAGATAGAGCAACAATTATGCTCTTGAGATCTTTGAGACAGAGCAGCAGTTATGCTCTTGAGACTTTTAAGATGGGCAGCAGTTATGCCCTTGAGAATCGTGGTGAAGAGCCACCACGATAAGTTTAAGATGTTAGGGGAATGAATCGTTACGACTTCCCTAACTAAGTTTAAGTTTAAGGAAAGCCTGAATGGCTTCTCATACGTATGAGTTGGCAACCGGACTAGCTAGTGAGGGATACCTGTGTCAGTCAAGTATTTAAGTCAAGATTTGAGCTTTAAGAGATGAGAGTAACTTCACCGTATTTCTCTTCCTTCGATCATCGTGTAAAATAAAACACGAATATCTCTGTTCGAGCGACCGTCTGTCCCTGTTGAAGTGCTCTGCCGACACACACGAATTCACGGTAAACGATAAACAACCCTTTTAACTTCGTCCGCCTCCTCATTCTCGACCCCTACCACCATTGTTCTTCTCCCCTTCGTTCAAGAGGTATGTTACACCATTGAATCCGAACCCCAATTCACTCTCTTCAACTGGCCTCTTTCAATTTCTTCACCGCCTTTCTCCTCCAAATCTCTCGTTCCCCATTTTTCTCCTCTTTCCCTTCATCTGATTGGGTAACCGATTGTAGTCTCGATTCTTCCAAAATCAGCTACTACGACATCATTTTATTAATCCCACGTGGACCAATAAAAGTTGGCGTCACCGGTGCCACACTTTTAATGGTGGTACGGTAGTATTGGCCTTGTATCACTTGTATTAAAATATAACACTTCTATCACACATTGAGTGGTGTGGGCTTAAAGACCTTATTTTTGGGTTTAGTGTGGCTTAAAGACTTTGATCCATTATGAACTCTTTCTTGTATCAGTTATCCAGTCCTTAATCAAATAAAGCTCTATGCTAAACGAACATTTCTAAAGAGCCTAGCTCGCTGAACACCATGGAGGAGGAGGACGCAATTCCCATTTCTATCATCTCCTAAGCAAAGACAAAGCAATATTCTTGTGATCTATGTTGAAGTTATAATTAGTATATGTTATGCCATTTAATATAAATGGAAATCCACATATTAGTGATGTTGATTGTTACTTGTTGCCCTTAAAAGTGTTTAAACAACACTTACAGCAAATACAACTGGAAGAAATGTTTTAGAATCATAAGAATGATCAAATCATAAATGATTTATAAGTGAGGTACTTCAAGAATGTTAGTCCTCATAATGAATGTATTTAAAGTTTTCAGAATATGAAAATATATCCTTAAATTTACCTTAAATTTTGTTTTCCCATACGACCTATATTTTTTTCCATATAAATTTATAACTACCCCACTAGGTAAAAGCAAAATTTTCAAAATCACTTGTATTTACTTTGTATATCCTTCAAACAAACAAGTAATGTATTGTGTTATTTGTGTATATATAATTATAAAAATAAAAATAAAAAAGTATTGGAAATTGTAGGCCCATAATGATCTGCAGGGCTGCGGCCCATTGTCATCCATACTGGAAAACGACGGGTCGTTTCTTCGTAGCCGTTGCTTACCATCATCATCCCCTTTTCTCGTCTCTTTCTTCTCTGTGATACGAGAGAGTGAGCTCAGCATCAGCAGGATAGTATAGTGAAGTCTCCTTCGGATATCTGGGAAGAGCTCAAGAAGCTTCAGCTGCAAGAAAAACAGTTAGAAGATGGCGGATAGCAAAGCAATCCGAGTGGAGAGCAGAATTCCCGCGCTCGTTTTTGCGCCACCACGGTTGTTCCGCCCTTCTCAATTCTCATCCCGCCCCCGCCAAACCTCCTCTTCGTTTCCGAGTCCTGGCCATGGATGTAAAGAGGAGCCCAAGCGTCTCAAATACCCCGCTCCTCGCTTCACCAAGGTCTCGATTTTTCTTCTTCCTGGCTTTCCGCTATAACCGCGATTAAAATGGGTAGGAGGGCGGTTTGGTTTATGTGGAAGCTGAGCCTAGTGGAGAGGATAGCTGGAAGTTAGATCCCATCGTTCAGATTCTGAAGCAGGCCGCCGTTGGTGTCATTCCCACCGATACGCTCTGTACGATTTGAGCATTTGGCTTTCCTTGCGATCGATCGTTCCTCGTTCAGTGTACTTAGGGTGGCTGATTTCTAGTCCTCTTTTGATTATTAGGTACGCCATAGTTTGTGATATGAAGATCCCATCAGCTATTGAACGTCTTCGTAGGTACTAGTTTTCTCCCTCTTTTGAAGGCGTTTTGAGTTTGGTGGTACCCCTAGCATTGAATTTTCAAGGTGGATGCTTTTAATTGAAATGCAGCCTCTCAGCATCTTATGACCCTCTTTGAGTGATGTAGACATGTACACGAACTGGTTTCCCTCACGGTGATGCCCAAGGACACGCGAATATCTTCCGAGCTGTTAAACATTTTTACCTCGACCTGTGAGTAAGGATGTAATCTCTCTTACAGGTTACGGGCATTTGGGAAGGCAATGAAGTTCCTCATTTGGTTATATTGGTTAAATAACTAGGAAGTTTCCATTACATTGCATTCGCATCCCAATAGGACGTGCAGATGGGGCTTGAATGGGATTGATGATCATGGCTGGTCTTAATTCATCATTTATGGTTATGCATTTATGTTAAAGTACACTTTCATAATGACTGCAAGCAAGGAGTTGCCTAAACGATGTATGAGGTATGGGACTCCAACTACTAAATATGTTGCTGGAAGGATGTGGGCGTCAGGATATCGGATGATGCCATTTGCCGACCAATACTTGAAAAGCTTGACGCACTGCTGATTTCCACAAGGTTTTTTTGTTCCACTTGAATTTCCTTCGCTGTTTTGAAGAAACGTAAACTTTGGCTGGATAAGGGCCTAAAAGATGCTTGAGTTTTACAAAGAGGTTACAGAAGCAATTTGAGATGGAAGCCTGAAAGCTTCCTTACAATTTCCTGTTCTTTGCATTAGCGTGAAGGGCCTCAAGGAAAATGAATGGTTGTTGGATCCTGTTGCAGTAGCTGAGGCATATGGACCATAGGTACCATTTATCCATCTGCTTAAGTTTCACCTTCCTCTTATTCTTTTTTTGGAGTGTTCAACCCATCTGGCTCGTTGATGTAGGGACTGGATTTCATTGTTGACGGTGGTGTGAGAGTAGTTGATCATCCATTGTGGTTGACATGACAAGAATAACCCCAGTAGTCGTACGGCAAGGAAAGGTAACCGAGCTTCTGTGACAAGGAGGAACAGTTCTTTTTTTTTTTCAGGGGAAAAGGAAGGAAGAACAGTTAATTTTAACTTTGATGTTACGTGTACTGATTTCGTGAATGGACAATGCTCAGAGACCTAAACTGCCTTGCGTGGAGTCTGAAGAGGACAGGGAATCAGTTTTAAAGCCTGAAGATCTCATACTTCATACTACTTAATAGATGTAAATCCTGCTGAATCTTGCTTGCTCGGGACTTTTATAAAGGCATTGTACAGCTAATTCAACATCTGGTTCATGGTCCAAGTAAACTGAAATGTATAGCTGAGGGAGTAAGGCCTGTCACGAGGACCTCCATTGTCTTTTCCTGCTAACTTGATCAATTGGGTATGAATTATATTTAACATAAGATTTGTGGCCTTTAATTATCGTCTTGAAGCTGACCTCTTATTCATGGTTCATCGGTTAGCAACCTCTTCCATCCAGTTTCTTCCACCTGTTTATGTCTACCTGTAACTCATTCTGCCGATTCAGAACTTCCAATATATTGACAGATACAATTCTACACAAATGCTGCAAATATGAATGTTGATGTCACCTTCACCGAGGCTTGTGGGTTGAAGTGCTTGAACTCATCACACTGTGATGTAAAAAAAAAGTTTCCATCTCTAACACTAATGTTAAATGCGTGATGTGAAATTGATGTGTTCCTGGTGTTTTGCAGGTCTTGATAGAGGGGACAGGTTCTGTCTACACTTCTTCTCTTCAGGCCGTTAAACTGAACCTGATATATGAAGTTGACATAGCCCTCTAAATGGGAAGTATGTAAGGCCATATTATTATCACAATGGTGAATGGTTCTTGTACATATAAAGCTGGAGACCCTTTTACAAGGAGCAAAACGCTGCAATGATTGTTTGCTTTGGTAAGTTACATCATTCTCCACTAGACCAATTAGGTACCAATGTGTTTTTATTTCTCAATTTGATTTGTAATCACTATTGTCACTAGATAGGAGACCAGTGGTGGCAGATTTATGGATGCATGTTTCATCCTATGTGCTTAAAATCAATGGAGTGCCAAGAACTGTACTTTTAACAAACAAGATGGGAGACTTAAAAATTTTCGTGGATTTCAGTAATCCCATACAGAATTCGACAGAGGAAGTCCTAATTGCATTACATGTCAAGCCAGGTTCAGTATCATCTATTCTTGGTGGACACCAGGGGAATCGCAAATTTGCTTTTCGGGTGAGCACTTCTCTTAGACTTTCATGACCAACATTGTTTCCTAGAAATGAACTTGAAACCAGTTTGATAATTGGCAGGACTCGCACTCTCACTTCACCGGGTTCCCCACTGATAATTCACTATGATTGGTCCCTTTTCCCGTGTAATATTCCTTAGTTTTTCACTGTATTCCTTTCTTGGAAATCTTAGTAAGTCAAGTTAGTTTCATCTTAGATACGGAGGAGCCTGCGGTAGGGCTAAGTTCTGCCTTGCAAAATGTGACAAAAGCTTGTGCCATCAATTTGGTTGTAGAGTTCACGAAACCAGTTTTTGGCTTTGATCCCTCAATGGTAGAAGTACATGGAGGGAAGATTGCAAGGCAGGTACATATGAAGTGCTGAAACTGAGGCTTGAAAAAACGGGGCTCAAAAAGATCTAATATTTTCCTTTCTTCAGGGTTCAGGAACTCTCAAGAGCACTATACTCATTGACCATCATTGTTGAAGCTCAGAAAACATTCTCTGTTTCTGTTCCTACTGGCAAAGTATGTGTAATTTGATTTCTGGTAATCCGAATTTGGCATCCAACAGAGTTAAACTGAAGCAATGTGAATACTATATTTTCTTGGAACTATATTTTGACAAGCAATGAGAATTCTGACGTTTCATATTGAATACTTGAACAGACGCAATCCCTGCAGCCTCAATGGCGCTCCATGCCTTTATCACTGCTGGAATGCTATCAACATCACTTGCAGCTGCTGGTCTGTCACAGTCATTGGCCAATATCGGAATCATAAGTGCTCTCATAACAGGGGGCAAAAACCCAATTTTGTTGCATCCAGTTCATCTACTAATCTGCATGTAAGTCTGAGTGTTCAACATTCCTGGACAAAAACTACCAGTTTGTGCGGGTTTATTGTTTATATGCTAAAACTCATGCTTTGCAAGGAATGTTTGGACATCTCCAAGTCTTTGTGATGTCAGGTTGGTTCTCTGTCAATCATCCAATTGAATATTTAGAGATAGTAAAGGATCTCAGGTGGCTTATACCTCGCGGCAAGCTTCCATGGAGAAAGGATTGAACTCCAACTTGGAAAAACCATGTTCATATTACTAGCGGGACAAAAGGTTTCACAGCCATTGGACTTCCTGTTCTTCCGAAGGGCAAGCATGAACACAAGGGAAACTTCACGAGTTACGACGGGCTTCGTGGGCAAGCTGTGAGCTCGAGAAGTGCTCAATATGGACAACCTCTCAACTCCGCCGAATACTTCAACTTTTTCTTGGTTGGTATCCTCATTTTACCATGCTCTGGTGATGTCTTGAATCGACGAAAAATTCTCTCTAACTAGAGCTTTATTCATCCCTTCATGGCAGAGAGGAGAGCCCTTGTCTGCCAGCAATGTCGTGAAGAAACTGGCAAACAACAAAGGATAAGATGTTGCCCTATTGCCATGCAGAATGCCTTTGACCGAGAGAAAAATTCATCAACTCGTGATTCAGTGATGTTGTCTCGTTAGGTGGGAAGACATGGAGGTGAACCTATTCTGGCTTGCTGTGATTGCCGGGAGTTCGCTTGCACTCCATTTTTCAATATTGCTCCTCTTGACATGGAGGACAGGAGGAACAAGATCAGGTTAGTTTGGAATGGTCTGATTTCCAAGGTTTGAGATACTTCCCTTACAGTTATAGGATATGTAATGGTGGGTCTTCTCCTGCTCACCACCAGTGCCCACATCAGGAACGAATGGTATGGGTTGGTTTCTTGGCTGGGTAAGACTGTCGTGGACGCCATGCCACGGTTGGCCAGAGGTCTCATGATCCACCTTTCTTGCCGAGGAAGCAATGGTCGAGTATTGTCCTACCGAGTTCATCCCAACCAGAGACCGGACTGTCCAGCGTTCCTTCCTCCGATGACACAGATAGGCCACCGCTATGTCTGCTACAGTTGTACCCATGGGATGAGTCCATATAATGGTGGAGGGAGAGGGGAAGCAGAAGCCATGGTTGAAGAGAGGAGTGAAGTTAGGAAGCTGAGGGAGAGCTAGCTTGTCTGGCCGGGGAAGGTGGTAAGCTGCGCAGTGGGGATCGAGCTCGGGATTCGGGTGGTAAAGCTGAAGGAGAAGAAGCATCATCGTCTTCCATTTCATGAGATAGCGAGCAATGGTGGTGATGGTTGTTGTTTTTTGGGTCATTTTGGAACTGAACATATCATCCTTGTGTAGTGTAGTGTAGGGTGTAGTGTCTTTATCGCTATGTATATGAGATTTGTAATGATTTTGACGGGAGATAGAATTAGAGAAGGAAACAAATCCAGTCCGTCGGTGACTGGAAATATGATGATTTGGTCCCGGCCATTCCAATCTGGCACATGTCTCACTCACCTCTGTTTCATTTTATTATTTAATTTATTGATGGATTGTGTTTGGAGACTTTTAATATCCGTTTTAGATTGATTAATGGCGGTTTATTAAGAAACTATTGATTTTTTCTTTTTTTAATTGAGAAACTATTGCTTAATGGCGGCTTATAGCCCGGGCTTTCTGAACGCGCGGCTGGGCCGCCCATGAAGGAGGTCACGTCACTTGTTTTGATTTATTAATAATAATTTTTTTTAATTAAATGTAGTTAATGCTGCAGAGAGAGAAGGCACGGAAAGAAACAAAGGAGAGGAAACAAGTGAAGTGAAGCGGGTGCTTTCATTATTGGATTTACTAAACATAACAAGAGGAATAAAAATATCTCTGGAAAAGTAAAGGTACTACAGCAATGGAAGTAGGATCTTTCCTCCTCTGAAAAAAAAAGCCCCCAAATCCTCCTATGAGCTGCTGCTATATATATATATACCTAATCAAACAACATAATAATCAAAACTGTGATTTGATCCCCGCACCACACCACATCACACCACCTAGACCCAGACCGAGACCCAGACCCAAACCCCCAAAACAATTAAAGCGCCTTGCCCTTGCCAGCGGATTTGGTGGAACCAGTAGGCGATGAAAAAGGCTCATCCTCCCTGTCCCTGATATCCTGGGCAGAGGACGAAGAGCTCGCAATCTCCCGGGAAGACGATCGACGTGTGAGATTACCAGAACCACGAGGCTGAGGCTGAGGCTGAGGCTGTTGGTCAACGCTCTGCCTCTCCAGATCCGTCTGGGCATCCTCCTCATCATCAATGGCACCTTCCGTCGGGGGTTTCTCGACCGGCAAATTCACAGCTGGCTGCAGAATCAACCCAGGAGGAGGAGGAGCATCGTCTGGTCGGTCCTGGAATCCATAATGACCCCTCCTGCCCTTGTCGTAAGCAGCATCGTCGGCCGGACGGTACTCGTCGAGAAATTTCGCTGCAAAAATCAACGCTATTAGTACGCCAGAGATCAGCAGCGCAAAGACAATGTTCAGACTCTTGTCCTCGTGATCGTCAAGGCTCTTCTCCTCCTCCTTGCACACGCACTTAGTCTCATCACTCCCCGCGGCTACAAGACTCCAAGCAACACTGGCCGCCGTGCTGTTCGAACAAAAGGAGATCTATATCAGGACGAGCCAATTCAAATTCAAACAAATACGTACTAATTGAAATTAGAAAGATACTCACCAGATCCAAGCACTCGTGAAATCAAACCTCGTCCTGAACATCAGAAAGCGAGAGATGCTGAAGGCATACACCGTGTAGCCAAGCACAAACATCGGGCCCAGCCCTTCTTTCGTGACAATTATGCCTAGCGCCACAGCAAACGCGATGCCCAAACACTGGAGAGTAGCCTGGCCAATCCAAGTCAGCAGGTGCGGCGTCAACCCGGTCAGCCGCCACCATCTCCCGTAGAAATCAACTGTCACCCAGCAAGCAACGTAATGGAAACAAATCACCACGCATATCCAGATCGCCACATGGTTTTCCGCGCTAAAGTATCCCATCACCAAACCAGCAGCTCCAGCCAAAACGAACCAGGTAAAGTAATGCTCATACTGATATTTGCGAAAAAGCTCGAATGGGTTGACCATGGCGGAGGAGGGGGAGAAAAGGGAAAGACGGTGGAGAGAGAGTGAGGATTTTTTAAATCTTTTTTCTCGCAGGCAGGAGAATGAGACGCTTTTTGACTGTGCTGCTCCCTACCAACCAGCAAACAGAATGTGCATTATATATAGCTGATCGCCCATCCACGTGGCGGCATATCATTGGATTTCTCGTATTGAATAGGATCGATTCCTCCCAACGGCCAGGATGAGAGGCAAGCTACATCAACAGCCAGGATGAGTCCAAAATGGATAGTTGTATTTGGGGTGACATGGATCGAGCGGGCCTACAGTTGCTTCTAGAACTTCAGGCAAACAATTTCAAAATCAAAATTTACCCAAAATTTTCGATTTGTCTGAAAAAATCGAAAAAGTTCAATCGTGGTCTTGGCGAGAAAAGTTCTTTTTCACCAATGTCTCCATTCTTTATTGCCAATCGATCCCTCTTCTTGTTTTTGTTTTCAATCCATTTATATATAATAATGTTTACATACCCGTTCTAACTGCATTCTACTAATTAAAATTCTACTATATATGTAATTAATGTTGAATGAGAATATTGTAATAACCATTTAATGTATTTCGTAATTTGGGTGATTTTTAAAGATATTAAAAAATGGATATAAAATTATATTCTAACAACTTATAGGTTTTTTAACTTCACTATGAATTTTTTTTACTGGCCTCCCCTTATCGAAATTTCTGGCTCCTTCCCTGCCAATCTCTAAAATTTTGTTCAGTATCAGTATTAACACCAAAGAAATTACTTTTAAAATTACAAATCAAATATACTAGCTCCACAAATCATTATCAAAATATAAAAACAAACAATGTTGTGGTGTCAATACTCATGCAAAACAAATAGGATAAAACCTTAAGTATAATAACAACACACTAGAAAAAGGTGGTGCCTAAGAAGCGCATGAACAAACTAAACCAACAATCTGAAACAAGAAACGACTAAGCAACCATAAACATACTACACATAACAAAATGAACTTTGTATGAGTTGCCAAATAGTAAGGAAATGAGATATGTATAATAAAACGATCATCTTGGTGATTGAGGTTCTGGTAGTAGTGGGTTAGAGAGCCTAGTTGAAAGGGAAAAAATATGCAATAGTTTATATTTTGGTATTGATTGGTATTTCGTTATAACTGATCCCAATTATGTAATCACTAATGTTGGGGGGCATGGCTCGGGTCTAATCGCGCCAATAAGCTGGTTCAGTACCGCCCATGAACTACCGCGCACACAAAAGGAATCAACTCGCAGAAAGATTCTACCCGCGGAAAGACTCAGCTCGCGGAAGAGTCATCGCGTGTATGGAAGCGCTCGCGGATGTCAAGGCCCTAGACGACGTCGTTTTGCTTGACTCAGGCCAGATAAAGAAGCCAAGAAACGACACCGTTCCCCCTGAAGAATAGTCACATCCAAGCTTAGATGTAATCATAGCCTAAGTTTATGTCAGTTTCATTAGTCATGTCGCATTAATTATCCACCCACTACAATGTAGCCTATAAATACGACATTTACTCCGGTGGGTGGGGGTAGGGGTGTTCAAATGGTTACCATGTTAATTACCAAATCAATCAAGCCTAAATCCTATTAACCATGGAATACAATCTCATAACCAAACCATCCAAACTAATACAACCAAATTAACCAAACTAAAGTTTAATCAGTTTGGTTAATTGGTTAACCATATTAACCAATATAACATCATATTCTCGTTAAGTGAGAAAAATCTCTGGTTAATGCATCAATTCACAATTTATATAATGAATAAAATATAACAATCAACACATAGTTATAGTTAACTCTTAACTCAAGTATATGTAACTAATACAATTATCTTACTATCAATAGAAGTATTCATGTAACAAAAATATATGTCAATAATATGGGGGTTAATGAATTGTTTTGTTATGTAAATTGACTTAGTCTCTTAGCAGTTATCCTAGGCTAAAAAAGACCTTCCTCGCAAGTTTGTTTCCAACATAATGTATTAGTTTTATCTAAATTAGGCGTCCATAAAGTTTTGATATACACTCTATAAATACAAATATACAATATAGAAACAATATCGAGCTTTATTTTTTTATGAGCCTAAGAAGGAGGAAAGTTTGACTCTTAAGTGGTTACGCAAAGTATTAAGTACGTGTATATAATATTTATTAGATATATGGCTAATTAGTTAACTGGTTAATTTGGTTTGATTGGTTAGGAGTCTCCGAAACCAAACCACCAAAATCAAACAAGCTAAAATGTTAAACCAAACCAAACCGTTATCCAGATTAACCAAACCATATTAACCAAATACTATCGGTTAAAATGATTACCACGGTAACCACACCGTTTGAACACCCCTAGGTGGGGGATCGATTTTTACTCTCTCACTCTAAAACTACAAACTTCTTTCTCTAAGATTTGCCTTCTCTCAATTGCTGCTCACTTGTAATCTCGAATTACTCTTCTCGCCCCCTTTTTACCCGAGTCTCACTCCTACCCTCAGTTAGACTTAAACAACTAATATCAAATAACAGTTGAAGTTCAATCACAATCCCAAAAAATAACACATATTTTTTTATAATATCAAATATCGACAAATTCAATATGATATTCGGTATATTTTAAATACCGATACCAAACTTTAAGCTTAGTTGTTATATAAAAAGGACGGGTTAATTGCATGGTTGGTCATTGAGATTACAAAAAACGTTCAAGTTTGGTCACTCGAAATATTTAAATCCATTGGTGGTACTTTAGTTTATTGAAACCGGTCACGTTTAGTCACTCTCCGTCCAACTCCGTTAACTTTTGTTTACGTGGCGGTCAACTCTAAAAGTTGACCGTCAAATGTGTGACGTGGCAGTTAAAAATAATAAAAATTAATATTTTACAATTTCCACCTATTTTTACAACAATATGCTGCTACATATAATTGAATATTCTGATTCTAAAAATCCCTTCTCCATTTCCCCATTCAAATCCCCTCCCCAATTCCATCAAAGATGGAAAGCTCATTTCCTTCGTTCCAATTTTTCTTCTTCTCGAGAAGATGCTGCATTTTTCCTTCTCCGACCTATTCCCCCCTCCACCGCCATAGCCAAGAAATCAACTTCGGCCACCGTCCTCTTCCAAGACTATTACAACGAGTGGTTCAAGACCCTGATGACGAAACTCCTCCCACTAGTACACTGCTCCCTCTCCGACCCTTCCCCGCCGTTGCTGCTCTCCTCCAACGTTCACCTCCTCCTCCTCCACCACTTTCTCTCCTACTAAGACGCCGTGGACCTCGCCACCAACCTCCCTCACCTCCACCAGCCGTGGCGCAACTCACTTGGCAGCAGCTCCACCGCCATATCAAGATTCGTGACGGCGACACTGAGTAGGGACTGAACAAGGACCGGATCTATGGCGCTATTGCACAGTCGTTGATCCTAATTTTTGTCGCGGTGGCTATAATTGACAAACGAATTTTGGTTGTCGTCGCCATCTCTTCCCAAATTTCAAGATCGAGAACCCTACTCGCCGGCCGCCGCCACGCCTCTCTTGGCTGATTCCTTCCTCTCTCGCAGACAGAGACCCCTAGCTTCATTTCCCAATTATTTACATAATCTCTGTTGGAGGGGGGTTGGGTCATGGGTGGTGGGGAGTCCGGAGGTTCGATGGTGATACGGGAAGGGGAGAAACAGAGGAAGAGGTTGGTTTTGGTAGGGAATTATAGGGAAAGCCTCTTCTCCGCTTCCTCTAATATGCAACTCCTCAGCTTTCCTCTTTTGCTAATTTCCCGAATTGATAGAATAAGTGGCTAAGATGATCAATTATTGCAAAGATGAGGTGGAAATGAGAAAGAAATTATGTTTTTTTATTTATTTTAAATAAAAGTGATAATGAGGTGGAAATGAGATGTCAATTTTAAAAATTTTAATTTTCTTATTTTACTAATTTTAAATTGCCACGTCACACATTTAACGGTCAACTTTTAGAGTTGACCGCCACGTAAGCAAAAGTTAACGGAGTTGGACGAAAAGTGACCAAACGTGAACGATTTTAATAAACTGAAGTACCACCAATGGATTTAAATATTTTGAGTGACCAAACTTTAACTTTTTCTGTAATTTCAGTGACCAACCATACAATTAACCTAAAAAGGACACAAAGTTGTTTATTTACTACCATCAATCATTCATCATTGGCATCTACAAACAGAAACGCGTACTGATACGTATACCCGTGAGCTTTTCCAGCGGTGAACCCCCTACTAGACTTCCTCTGCATAATTAACAATCCTTGGGCCTATATTAAGTATTTCGGCCCTTATCAAATTACCGGACCCGTGATCAAAACGATCAAGGCTGCTGATTTGAGTGAACTCCGGGCCTCTATCCATCATCCTAGACCGATATCCACTCAAGCTCACGTCAGTTTCCCCAGCTCCTTGACTCGTCTGTCCCAACTCGTATATATCAAAGCTACAGTTAGGCTACCCAAGTTTGGCCCGAGCCCGCCGAGGCCCATCTCGGCTCTTAATGCGACCCAGCATCAATTCTTGGGCCTAGTTGGTTCTAGCCCGACGGCCCCAATCCTAGTGATGTCGCCTCCCTTCTCCCTTTCGGCTCAACCTCATCCACCGCCATGCAGAAATGGTTGAGCTAGACCGACCTGTAAAATCAAACGAATAGAATCCATTTGGTAGGGATTTACATGCGGTTGTGTGGTCGGTTCATTAGCTGCCTTGTGCCTCAAAGTTTTTATATATAGGTGAGAGTGACCAGAAGAGAGGAGAGCTTCTACAAAAGCTTAATGATATGTAATCAATCGAAAAGGCTTTCATCGATGATCATATTATTTATAACAATGGGTTGGTGCAATTGTTCTTTTTGTCGAGATTTGTGAAATCATATTGGGGATCATACTTATCAGGCTATGCGCGAGTTGTTCGAGGTTCGATCGTCCTTGAACAAGAAATCTAATGTATATAATTGTTTGGTCCTTGTTCCAAGCAATGAACATAAACTACCTTGAACTCCAATCTAAGTTCTACTGCTTCACTAATGTCACACTAACATATGAGCTTTCAATAATTTTCAATTTGTGCTCCAAATAGAGTTTTCGAGCTTCTAGCTCTAAGCTATAGAAGGTGCAAGATTTTTTAGTTGATGTTTATGGTTATTCAACCGGCGGCTTATCAGCCTTATCTCCATATGTCAAGAAAATATACCAATACTTCCACCTTAACAGTACCCTGGATAATCTGAGAACCCTGGCAATCTCCATGTCAGAGGTACAATCAGATTTCTTTGCTTGTTTTAGCTTTACTAGTCACATTAATCTTTTTGCTTTAGCAGATTTCAAGAATTCAGTAGAAAACTGCGGTCCATTCTCTATCATGAGAGTGCTTGGGTATGATTGTTATTAGGGTTGGAAATCAGTACGGTATCAATATTCATATTTCAAATACCGAAATTTTGAATTTCAAATAGAACTCTAAATTCAATTTCAATCTCAATCCCAAAAATAAATTTGGTATCCAATCTCTAACATTGCTTGTCACGCTAAAACTATAATAAGAAGTATATGTGACTTGCTTCCTACATAACATGCATAATGAAGTCTATGCATGAAAATAAAGGGGTCCCCTCATATGGATTTGAGAGGCATCGATGAAGTGATTGACCCCATAGTAATCTTCCTTGGGAGGTCACCAAATGAGATATAGCTCTAAAATTGAAATACAAATGAGATGTCGCACTATGCAGAGTCACCAACAATACTAAGCTAAAAAATAAATGGCCTCCTTGGTGATGACCATACCATACACAAAATGTGAGATGAAGCCACAAATGATGTAGTCATACCCCTGCAAAGTCACAACAATTATGTCCCTTGTCTATGGAAGTTTGACAGCTATAAACCCACACAATGGTAAGATTTAAACATATTCAATACTATCACAATGTTCGAATAAATGCTGCAAAATTCACAAAACCGTGTCACCTTTTCAATGAAAGTATGATCGTTGTAAATATATTCAATCCAATGATGATTTTGAAACATATTTGGTGAATATAATTTATTAACCAAAATTTTCAAACTTTTTAAATTATTAGTCTAACCTTTCGAAATATAAAATATTAGAAAAATATTTTGTAACGCATCAAAATATTAGTCATTTGTCTGTCACTGCTAGTAATTTTGTAAGTCTTTTCTTAGTTAAAATATTTAAAATTTTGAGAATGTTGACCCTAACATGCCTCTTCAAAGTCAATATCCTGTTTCCAAGTCAATATTAGTAACAAAACTGCTAATGGGAAGTTAATATTTGACTAATATTTTTTATTTTGAAAAGTTTGAATAATAATTTGATAAGTTCGAAAATGTGGAAATTTTTTGATTGACCGAGTGACCAAAGAATGTAATTATTTTTATGCGTAATTTTTAAATTAAAAAAAATAAAAGGACTCAACACATTGTAAAAGAAATAGTTTCTTCCATATTATCCAATTGCCAATTTACCCTTAACGTATATAAGAATGTAATTTTTATTTTCTTACTTTTTCATAGTGCTTTAATAAATCGATTTTCATAGTAGAGTTTGATGTAACCTTTTCTACTTTAAAACTTCTACTCTCTCTTCAATTTTTGTTAAGGGTAAAATGGTAATTGGATAATATGGAAGAAACTATTTCTTTTACTATGTGTTGAGTCCTTTTAGATTTTTTATGTCTAGACTAGATACTCATATGCAAATTACAATTTCATACCTAAACTTAACAAATCAATAGATTTAGTACCCAAAATTTTATTTTGAATATAAGTCCTCAAAATATTGATGGAAGTACACATTTGATACCTAAACTTTTTGAGTTTTACAAATATGTCCACTTTTTGTATGTGTAGTTAAAACAAAATCAAGTAAATAGGTATTCATGCCCAACCCATACGCATTCAGATTATGGAAGCAATATTCATACCCTATCAAAACCCATTTACGAATCCTCAAACCCATATATACTTCACCCATATCCTACCCATTATCAATGGGTCTACTTGTATTTGGGTAAAATGACCCATCAATGGGTCTATTTGACTTTCGGTAAAATGACTTGGGTAATTGCCATCCCTTCTTGCAACACCGAGGACATCAAACTCTTTCGGAGAGTCATTGTAATCGGATCGCGGATAAACCGCTCGGATACCAACTACTGAATGTATAAACTACTGCTATGCTAAACTATAGAGAAAAACTAATAACTTAAAGTTTATTCTTCGCATCCGAACTACATAACACACTTTGTATAGTTATCTAATCTTAACCTTCTAATGACAAATAAGTAAATAATACGATAAATATCTTGTAGTTATACACGCATTAGAGAAGAATAATAATAATGACCACTTCATCCCTTAAATCAATTACTTATCTCCCTTTCATATTATAACCTCTCATTGTAGAATCAAAATATAGAATCTTTCTGATTATGATAAATTTGATATCCGTAGACTTTAGAGATTTGAAATCTCTAAAGCTAAAATCCACAATACAAAAAGCAACAAAAAATATAAGGGGTACCAAATCCAATCCATCATGGATTTATCAAAAATCCATTGTTTGCTTGCACTTTTTTTGGAGACCAAATTCGTGGGGCCCACGGATTTTAAGGGTCCAAATCCGTGGACCCCACGAACTTATAAATCCCACATGTTGATGTGGGATTTGAAACATGGCATAAATCCTTGATGGGATTTTACCCATATACCCTCATGCATTTTTAATATTCCAAGATTGCCCTTAAATTTAACTATTATACATTATAATTAATCAAGTAATTAACAATGAATGAATAATATAAACATTCAATTTTTTTTAGGGAATATAAACATTCAATTAATGTGCAAACATGAGTTAGATTTTTTATATCATTTCTTGTATTCTAGTTTTCTTTGACCTTTTCATTGAACGTGTAATTCTTTGTTCTCCCGATTCTAATATATATGTTGTTATATGTTACTTTTGAAAAGGAGGACAAAGAATTGGTAATTGATTATGTTACGTTTAAAACAGAATTTTCTCGTTTATTATTATTGTCCATGTGGCAACATTATGCTTATTAGTATGTATTGTCTTTGTTTTGTGTACATATCATAAACATGTCAAACATATAGAAAATGATATTAAGGTAATTTTGAAGTTTTGTCTTTGTTTTGTATACATATCATAAACATGTCAAACATATATAGAAAAAGATAGTAATGTAATTTTAGACTTCAAGTTAGAAATCCCACACCTTTAAATCCATGATAAAAACATCTCAACAAACAAAGGATTGTTACAAATCCATGATGGCTCAAATCCTTGATAAATCTTTGGGTTTTTAAATTACAAAACCCTCGTTTTTAAATCCATGAAGCAAACGACCCCTAACTTTCTATAAAATCTACGGATTCGGTAAATCCACGACCTAAATCATATTCTCCAAACTATTAGAGTATGAAATATGAATAGTACGAGTAGTATTATAGAAATCAATTTCTGTACTCTATGATATTAGTAATAAAATAATAGTTTTCGCTGTATTCTGACATGGTTTTTTTTTAAGGAATGCTAACGTTTTGATGCATCAAATTCAAGCCGCCAAGAGCTGGAGAGAATATTACAGGGTTTTGATAAAAGTAAAAGCTTTCCTGTGATTGTTTCCTTCTAAGGGGAAAAAAGAAGAAAAAATCAGATAGGTTTCTTTCTTGCCTAACAATTCATTATTTTCCTACGGATGGCAACAACCACACCAAGAATTCCAACTGATCTTACTCTTTCACTAAACACAAGTAACCAATAAAACAACCATAGGTTTCTTTCTTTTGGCTTCTCTATTTCGGTTTTGGAGGTGTTGTTTGAAGCACCTAAGTTTGATGATGTTGTTCGTAATATCTCTGTTTGATAAATGCTGTTCGGAGAATTTCTAATTTCTATTTCAATGATGCTATTCAGGGCATTCTGATCTCCATGCTGCTATTCAGAGCACATGGTTCTATTTCGTGACAACAAAATTTCCAAGTCACTACTCTTTCTTGTGGAATATCTTCCTTCTTGATCGTCACTTGGTTTTGTCGTTTCCTTCTGTGCGGAATTGTGGCGAGTGATCAGTTTTTTTGTTGGACACTTGGTTTGATGGCCTAGACGACTTTGGCAAGAACTTTCGTTCTCTCCAGCTTATCACCATTGATGTTTCACGTGGCAGGGGACATGGACTTCATCGACATCGACATATTTGGCAGAGGAGTTATGTTTTTCATTTTTTTCCGTAGTAATTTGTGTAATTTTTGTTTCGATTTTCAATTTGTTGGTAAGTAATTATCATCAATTATAGAAGTCATCCTCTGTACTCTATATAAACCCTATATGATTTCAGTAATAAAACAACAGTTTCCACCGTATTTTAATTTATCAACACAAACGACTCCTTAGGAAAAAGATAATCCAAGAAAAAGAATACATGAAAAGTATGGAAAAAAGAGCAAACAGTATGTGAATATAATATATGTCGAAAGTCCTCTTCAATGGTAACCGGTCTTTCACTAAAATAAGTCCTGTTGTTTTACTGTTGCCCTCTATGTCATCACCGTCGTTATTCTCCAGTAGCAGATCGGTGGCCATCATAACATTTTCCTCCATTGCTACTAGCCGGAAGCTCCCCTCATAATCCCGCTCCCAATGAGTGACCAGCCTAAACCATATCACCTGTTCTACCTCATGGTATCGATCATTTGTAGTTGTGGCTTTTTTTGCCACCACCATCGCCATGACACACAAATAGTCCCACCGTTGGAGTTGTTCGGGAAACATAGGTTTAGTTGCCGCCAGCAACATCTTGGTCTCATTCTCGTCGATGCCGAAAATCAACATATCCCCCATTTTAAATAAACAGAAGAATCTATTGTCTTTGTAGCCCACGCCAAGACATGTTTGTCCTTTTTTCCCACTCAATGAGAAATCGTATGTCTTTTGCTCAAATTCACCATTGTGTTCACGACGAAACATGCATAGATAGGAGTCGCCATACACCACGAGGATTGCCGAGTCGAGAGCCGTGGGTAGCGCTGAGAAAGCAAATTTTAGTACTGTGTCAGGTCTGTAATGGTTGTCGTAGGTAGAAAAACGCCAACTCGGTTGGGAAGACTGATGTAGTTTGCAGGACTTCGGAGTAGAGGATTGTACCAGCCCAAAAAAGCATCACGCACTTTTATAAAAAACCACGCACCCGCCATCCCGAGGATTGCTATGTCTTCACCTGCAAGCTCATATGGGATTTGAGATTCACGACGCCGTTGGAGAATAAGTCGCTTACCCTCCCGCACTTGGATGATGTCCGAGCTGGACAATTTTGCATGGCTGATCAACACAGGTCGGGGATTGGAAAGGGCGATGTGAGAGTGAACTTGGTGCCAGTTCTTGCATACGTCGCCGAAGTGAGTACCGTCGACATGAGACGAGAGTCTGTTGTAGATGGATTCCAAGAGATATGGACATATATCAGCCCATGATCGTTGATCCTCTTCCATGTTCATAATTCTATCAACTTTGCTTTCAAGAACTTTTTATTTCTATACGTGATTCAAGTTTGAGCCTTCATTTTAAAAGGTTAAAATGGTGGTTATAATAAGGAGATCTATTAGTTCTACAATTATGCACACAAAAGATGAAACTGCAATATTATTATTGAGTTGGTGGTTATAATATGACCGGAAAAAAGGAAAATTCATGTTTTAACGGCTCATGAAGCGATCAATATTATCATTTATTCTTACTTACCTAGTGGATGAATCATCATATTCAAAAACAATTCCTTAAATGAGAATAATTGATAATTTGATGAATGACTATCTTATTTGATATATTGAAGAGAATGAATTTTATAGTTGAATAGAATAACTCATTCATAAATGAGAACAAAATGTCAGTGGACGTATGGAGGGATGACAAGTTCAGATTCAAGTAATCTTACTCACTGGTGATGGGAGAACAGGACAAAATGTCAGTTGACCTATGGAGGGAACTCTAGAAATGGAGAGGATCGAACCGAATTAACCACTTCCTTTGGTTGATTAGCCACAAAAGACGGATTTTTTTTTTTGACAAAAGATGATCATATATAGATTGAACAAAGATCATTACAACCTGGAATTTAACCAAGCAGCGAAATCAAAATGGGCTACCCTAGCCACTAAATGGGCTACCCTATTACTACTCCGGCCGACAAATCGCACACTAATCCCTGAATGAAGCGTAAAAAACCCCACGATCTCTTCCAGAATGGCGCCAATCCGATTATCCCGAGTGCTCGCTTAATTGATCTTATCAATTACCACCTTGGCATCACCTTCAAAGAAAACCACCGAGAAGCCATGGGATAAACACCAGATAATCGCCTCCCTAAGCACCAGCGATTCAATGACTATGGGATCATCCACTCCAACAAACTGAGCCCCTTGAACCATAAGCACCTGTCCACCCGGATCCCTGATAACCATTCCACCAGCTGAATGCGAGCCTCGCCTTGTAGCCTCATCCCACTGACACACCACCCCAGAGGGATGACCCCCTACAACGGGCTCAGTCAGAGGGGTGGAAAGCCTAGGCACACCTGCTGGCGGTAGATTAACCCATTCCTGGTATTCCTGATGAAACTGCCGCAGGAGGGCCGGGATTCCAAATTGTTTACCCTCAAAGACAACCCAATTTCTGGATCGCCAAATCCTCCACAGGACCACCACCACAGCGATGAACAGATGTTGTTGATGGATCAAACCCATCAACTTTTTTAGGAAGAGAGGGAATGTGTGCTTAGGCAGACCCTGACCAAGATCGGCAAGCCCAGTGTGATCCCACAATGCCTTCGAGACTGGACACTCAAAAAACAAATGTTCCATTGTTTCTGAGTCAGCCCAGCAAACCGGACATCTAGGAAGCACCTGAATCTTTCTTTCAATAAGTGCTTCTGTCGTTGGGAGGATACGTTGGAAAATTTGCCACAAGATAACTTTCAGCTTAGGTTGGATATTGGCATCCCATAAATGAATCCAGCTAGGTTGGTCCATCCAGCTTGCCGAAGCTCGCCAGTGCCCCTTTTGCTTATCCAGAGCAATAGCGAGGTGGTAGGCCGATTTGACAGTGAACACCCCATCACTGGTATCATGCTAAACAAGCTTATCTGGAATATATTGCCAGGAGAGAGGGATGGCTTTGATTGCCCTACACGTGGATGGATCAAACCAACGAGATAATATGGCATCACACCACCGACCGCCCCCGAGAGCCAGAACTTCCTCAACCTTGGGATCCCCGTCCCCAGAGAGCACGATTGGGTTAGGGATCGGGGGTTGCGGGTGTAAAGCAGGGATCCAGCTAGAGCTTAACATGGGAGCCAGTTGCCCATTCCCAATCTGCCACCGAAGACCCTTAACCAACAGCTGACGACCATAAAGGATACTTTGCCACCCCCAAGATGGGCGAGAGCGCGCAGTCGCGGTTAGGAATGTCCCCGAGGGGAAATATTTCCATTTATATACTTTGGCCAGCAGTGACTGGGGATCACTCAAGATATCCACCCAATCTTAGCGAGAAGGGCCTGATTAAAATGCTCAAAGCGTCGGAAACCCATTCCGCCATCATGTTTACTGCGGCACATATTACGCCAGGAAATCCACCGAACTCGAGGGTTGCCTTCAGTCTCCCCTCACCAGAATCGAGCCACATGATGATCAAGGAGGCGACAAAGCGATAGGGGAAGCTTGAAGCACGACATCACATGTAAAGGTAGGGCCAAGGCTATGGATTTGATCAATGTCTCCTTAGCTGCCGAAGAGAGCGTCCTTTGCTTCCAACCTTGTAAGCGTTCAAGTAATTTGGCCTCCAGAAAACGGAACGTAGCCATCTTGGAATGAGCAATTAGTGAAGGAAGCCCATAATATTTGTCGTGCACCCCCACAGCTCCTACGCCCAAGACCTGGGCCAGAAATTCCTGGTCCGCCTGGGAAACATTCTTGCTGAAGCATACTGCCGACTTGGCCAGATTAACCCTTTGGCCACTTAACTCCTCATACTCATTTAGCACCTCAATGAGGTTCTCACACTCCTGAAGAGAGCCACGGAGGAAAATATAGGAATCATCCGCAAAGAAAAGATGTGAGATCCTGGGGGCTCGGGGAGCAACCTTCACTCCTGCTAACTTACCCTCATCAATCGCTCTTCGCAGAAGCGCCGCAAAACCCTCCATACAGATAACAAACAAGAGGGGGGATAGCGGATCTCTTTGACGAATTCCCCTAGAGGGGGAGAAGTAACCGGAGGGCGTGCCATTCATGAGGACTGAGAAAGAGGTTGAAGTAAGACATTCATGGACCCACCTTCGCCAGGTAGCATTAAAGCCTAACTTTTCCAAAACCGCCATAAGAAAAGACCATTCGACTCTGTCATAGGCCTTTTCCATGTCAACCTTTAGAGCCATGTATCCCTTCTTACCACGGGTTTTGATTTTAAGATAGTGCATTAGTTCATGCCCTAGCAGAATATTTTCCACAATCTGTCTTTCCCTGATGAAAGCATTTTGCCCCTCGGAGATGATCTGAGGCAGAAAGCAAGCTAACCTCTCCGACATAAGCTTAGTGATGATTTTATACACAAACTAGCACAGACTTATGGGGTGGAGTTGGCACATATTCTCAACGTTGTCCACTTTAGGGATCAAGGTGAGCCAGGTATGGTTAAAACTTCGGAGGAGTTTATTAGTCCTAAAAAATGAACAAACAGCTGCAATGACAGAGTCGCCCACTATATCCCAATAGGACTTAAAAATTTTCCCTGTAAAACCATCAGACCCTGGAGCTTGCTTAGAGCCCATAGAAAACACAGTTTGGCGGACCTCATTAGGGAGGACGTCTGCTGTCAAAGCAGCATTCATGGTAGGAGTCACTTTACGAGGAATTCGTAGTTCTGCCACCCTAGCTTCCATGTTGCTAATGTGGTTATCAGACGTGAAGAGGTGTTGATAGAACTCAGTGGCAATATCTGCCTTCCCTCTCTCATCCATAACCCATTCATCGCGGTTATTGCGTAGTCCGGCGACAAAGTTACGTTTCCTTCTTGTTCGTGTCACCGTATGGAAGTAAGAGGTATTCTTATCTCCTTTTTTTAACCAGTGAACCCTCGACTTTTGCTTCCAATATTCCTCTTCCGCCTCCCATTGCCGGTTCAGTTCGATTTCCAATTTGCGCACTTCGTCCCAGTTAATGGGTTGGATTGCTTTGACTCAGTCGAGTTCCAACTGCAGCGTTTTGATGTTGCGCAGTGAATTGGTCGTGCCAGCCCTACTCCAATCATAGAGCAAGTGGCGGAGTTTTTTCAACCTTTCCCAAGGTTGGTACATGGGATTACCAGGGATTTCTTCTTGCCAAACATAAGAGACCATAGCGCGGACCTCCGGATTCTTAGCCCAGCGGGCATCAAATCGAAAGAGAGGTATGCAATTCCGAACAAAGGGTTTGTCCGATAGGAGCAAAGCACGATGGTCAGAACCTTGGTCTGTAAAATGCTTTACCAAAGTATCGGGGAAGAGGTCAACCCAGGGCTGGGAACACAATACTCTGTCCAGTCTCTCCCGAATGAAGGCAGAACCCATGCGTCTATTTGTCCAAGTGAACGGGTCCCCTTGGAACCCAGGGTCATGGAGACCCAAGTCAAGGACAAAATTGCGGAGACTTAGAGATTGGTTAGCACACCACGGGTTGCCACCATCCTTCTCGCTTGCATTCAGAGTCACATTAAAGTCTCTGATAACCACAAAGGGTAAATGGATATCCTCGCAGATGGTACGGAGTTGAGCCAATTGGGTGACTCTTATTGGTTCCGAACAACTAATATAAACGCAGACCACGACATAAGAAAAGTTCATCTCATTAATTTGAAGAAAGATGGAAAAATCCGAATGAAACAACACCGAAGTATCAACTCCGGGGGACCAACCTACTACAAGACCACCCGATGCATTAACCGCATCAACAAAAAAACAACGAAAAGACTCAAAACCCAAATCCCGCATACGTCGGGAGACAACTTTCCGAGAGGATCGAGTTTCTGAAAAGAAGACGACCTCCGGATTATTCGACCGAATTAGACCTACAGCAGTTTGGAATGTGAGGGATGGTCCAAATCCCCGCACATTCCAGGCCAATAGCCTCATTTATCCTCTTGGGGCCACTCAAGGCTGGTTTCCTCCACCTTTTCTTCCTCATCAGCTATTTCTTCCACAAATTGACGCTTTGGAGAAGGGCTATCATCCAGGGCCCCTATCGCCTCCATTAGATCCCTCTTCCTTCCCCCTGTCATCGCCCCATTCATATTGGTACCATATTCATTCAGCTTCATCATCATGGTGGCCTCATCTTCACGTGGGGAGCAAGGAGGCAGTTTAGAAGCTTGTTGATTAGGTTCCTCCTTGAGATTATCAATACCTTCCCCCTTGGCTAGGCCACCATTTTCAAAAATTGCCACCACCTCACGAACA